ATTTTAAGATATTTTGAGTAGTCCTTGTAAACATTATGTCTTTCCAGATCCCCATCTGGAATTAACAATGTTTTTGTTTTTTTTCCATTCAAAATAAAGTCTGGCTTTTTTCTCCACAGAGTTGATAAGGCCGTTTGTGATCCATGGATTTGTTATATTATTTCGTTTGGTGGTTTTTGGTGAAGCCAATTTGCAAGATATATCTATCTTTTCTTGAAACAGATCCATGAAGGATTCAAAAGAGTCACATCTGTGGTAAAATGTATCTATGTCGTTTTCAATTTCTTCACAGAGCTTATCAAGGTTTGCATTACTATAGTTATAATAAATGCTTGTTTTTTCAGGTGATTTATTCTGTTCCGAACTAGTATCAGAATTCATTACTTGAAGGCAGAAAATGGGCTGGTGATGTGAAGCACTATCCTGAATTACTCCAGATTATAGTTGATGAGTGAATGTCATTAGTGTGTATGTTATCAATGCACGTTTTTGAGCAGTGGGGCATTTGGTGTGTGGGAATGGATATTGTGGGCGTGAACCCGTGACTATAAATAACTTCTTCGAATATATCTTCATCTGGGCCTGATAAATTGGTTATGTTAACATTGAAGTCCCCTAATATGTATGCTTTATGTCCTTTCAGTGCAGTAAGAACTTCTTTATACTGTGCATTGAAGTTAGCAAGTGGATTGCTTGGTGAGCGGTATACAACTCCAACTGTTACTGGTTCTGGAGCATTACTTATTGTTATGAATAGGGACTCAAATTGCTCTGTACAAACAGATAACTTTTCAATCACACTAAAGTTAAAGGAGTTGTGAATGTAGAGAGAAACTCCACTTCCTTTACTTTTTACCTGTTGTGTCTTATTAGAAACGAAGCGTTTTTGGTAACATGAAGTATAGTCTTTAATTTGGTACAGCTGACTATTACAGGGATCAATGTTTGTTTCTGCTAAACCTATCACAGAAAATTTGTGGTCTATGCAGGCTAATTCTAAGGCCAATTTGTCAAAGTTAGTACCATTTCCATCAATATTTCGAAAGTAGTGTGAGAATATGCGCTTTGATGTTGTTTGAGGAATCTGCTTTATGAGGTTGTTGAAGTTTTTAGTAGAATATGATTGACAGTTCTCAAGAGTTTTTGAGATTGTACTTATTGAGTCTATATAGTCGTGAGGTTCATTGTCAAGTAGTTCGTTGTTTGAAAAGTGAGGTGCTTGATAGAATGGATTATAACGAATTATATCATGATTTTGAATACAATTTGAGCAGTAAGTTTTTTCTCTAAAAGTGGCAATGTTTTCCTGTGTTTTACATCTCTTGTGAATGATGCAATCACACTTATTGCAATTTATAAATGGGTGTCCAGCACGAATAGGTTTGCTGCAGCAGATACAGTTCTCACATATATTTGTTCTATTCATGGTTTCGGAGCTCTTTGAACACGTGAATTGAACATCCCAACTTTACTCCTAGCAATATCACTAAATTGGCGCCCATCTATTGGATTGCGCTGTATTTTATCCACTATTAGCCTAGACAACTTAAAGATACCAGTAGACCCAAGATGGATGGCATCACTTTTATCCTTGAAACGACCGAACTGGTCAGCTAGTTTACCATCTTCACCAACAAATTCATTAAAATCTAGAGTTCCCACCCTTGGGTTCATGTCAACATATTGAAATATAAGTTTGTTAAAATATAATGCTTTCTCGTTCAACCAGCCAAACTTAGTGGGTAGTACTGGCGAAACGGTAACCTTGGAGTATGGACATTTACGACATATATCATCAAGTTTTACCTTGAGATCACTGGCACACTGCTCGATATTTGAGCTCCGTTTCTTAATATCATTTACTCCACAATGAATAAAAATATTTCTGTAACCTTCACACAAACTTGGGTTAATCATATCAATAGTAAAACATTCTACCTTTTCCCTGGCATTCTATGACCAAAACGTCCTTTCCCACTACCGAATTTCAAGAATCTAGTGTTGGAGTCTCCTATTATTATTGTTGCATTTTCGTTGTTAGATGTAACATAACGAAATGTAACACTATATCTTTTCTCACGTGTGGTTGGAGATTGATCTATTTGATGTTGCCAAACAGACTGAGATTGCTTACTCATAACATATAGACTTTTTCCAGTAGCTGATACAGTTTTGGTTTCAGATCCTTCGATTTTACTGAATAGAACATCACAGGTACTGCCTAGTGATATAGTGAAGATGTTACTATCAAACATTAGTGAGGCTTCGTTGTCCGAATGCTTCGGCAGCTCTGATTTCTCGTCAAGGTAGCGATTCACTAAACACTGATTAATGACACTTTCAGGGAATTTGGCCTGGATGAGCGAAACAAGTTCAGTTAGGGGTTCAGGGATGTTTTTGGATATAGGTTTTGCAGCTTTGGCTCCTGGATAGTTGTATGCATCCCCAAAGCTTATGACACCATGTCCTCTTTCTGAGTTTGCATCAAACTGTTCACTGAATGTGTCAAGGTATTCAGTGAGTTTATCCGAAAGTTCTTGGGCAACAAAATCTGGTGTGAATGACTCAATGTGACCAATGGAGGTGTCTATAGGATTTTGCACTGTATGTAAGTCAATCTTAGGATCTGGTTTTTCGATATTGATATTAGGAAGGCCTATTGGGAAAGAAGGAAATGCAGTGTTACGTGGTACATCTGGAGTTGACATATCTGATGGTTTCATGTACTGATCAATGGAGAGAGTCAGGGTGTTAAGCTGGCCACTGATTGATTTGAGAGTGTCATTGTGCACCTTATCTCTCTTAAGAATGCTATTTTGAATAGCCTGAAGGGATTCATGGAGGGTAGCATTTCCAGAAATGGAGTCAGCAGCTACGGAAGAAGCAACTGCTGCTTCATCGATGGGGTTGTCACCGATAGACAACCTTTTACCCCCTATTACTGCACATACTTTCTCTGACAGAGAAAGTAGGGACAGAAGGCCGTCTGCCAGGGTATATTTGTTAAGTGTTGAACAGTTTTTGATGATTGTAGGGGTCAACGTTGCAAATTGGTCTACTTCTACTTTCAAAGTACTACAAAAGTTCAGTTTGATATTGTCTACTTCAGATCGTAGGTTTTTTGAATGGGCCAAAAGAATTGTATCAAAAGGTGTTGAAGCATTGGTACAAAATGAAACAAAACTGCTTACGTCTGCTTCACAGTCCTCAGGGGTTCTGTTCTCTGCAACAGCTTCTGAGGATTCAGGTGCAGCAGGGGCAGCTGATGTCTGATTGTCTTTAATCTGGGACCCCAAATCATGCCTTTCATTGTCATTTCCTTTGTTATCTTCCTGAAAGACATAATTTGAGGTACCCAGCCCCACTGCACTGGCTGTTGATCGGTTTGACCGGATTCCACCATTCTCAAAGTGAGATGGGGTTGAGCAAGTTCGAGATAGAGACTGCTCAGCGGTTTCGGGTCCTCAAATTATTTGTTATATAGTAGTGTTGAAAGTATATATCCGAGCTCTTATTTTTATCTTTTGGTTAACTTTCTGTGATTGGACTCGGTATTTTCGTTCCGACCGAGTGGGACGATGCTTGCTCGCCAGTTAAGCTATACTGTAGATCATAACATTAATTTCTACAAACCACAGAATATTAAATATAAAATGTGTCCAGTATGGCGCGAATGCATAATTTGATAATTTCTTGACGCCGTCATCGGGGTGAGAGTTATCTGAACCAACTGCATGCCCCTACGATTGCGTCACCACTGGTGAGCAAGCATTTGGTATATTGTCCATAATCTACGTTCTGCTTTCATAGTTTAAACAATAGTGAGTTCTAAATATACAGCTTTAAACCGATTAAGTATGAATGAATGAAATATCTGACAATCCGCACTCTTATAATCCAAAAGCATGAGTAACTCCTAGTGATGTATGATTTCTAGAAACTTTAAATTTGGTGCTTTAAGGTCCTCGTGATCATGTGATCGCCGCATGAGGTTCTGTAAATGCGCAGGGCACCTTCAAGCTTAAATTATTCGCCTTACTGGGGGGATACAACGGTCATTAATGTCACTATTATAGAATTTTGCTGAAATATACATATACATTAATGCCCATTTATGCCCATTAATGCCCATTAATGCACATTAATGCCCATATTTGATAGAAAAGTGGGCAAAAATGGGAAAAAAAGTATGGGCATTAATGGCAGTATTATAGAATTTTGCTGAAATGTACATATACATTAATGCACATTAATGCCCATTTATGCCGATTTATACCCATTAATGCACATTAATGACCGTTGTATCCCCCCGCCTTACTGAGGCAGTCAACCAACACGCGGCTTTATTTTATGATATGATATGTTTTGATTGTTATTAATAAATACCAAAATTTAAAAAATATCAAAATCAAAATATAATGACACAAACATCATCACACATCATCAAAAATATATCTACTAAAGTTTAAAAATTATCTTTAATATATTGGCCTAAACAACCAAGTTAAAATGAATCTAATTTACATACTTTCCACTACTATTATATAAGTTGATAAAGCGTTTTTTAGCAACATGAGGATTACACACAAGATATTCATTGTGCTTCTCTTTATTAGTAGCATAATTTAATCCCTCGATCTTTCCTAATACTTCGTCCGAAACATACCAAAAATGACTATCATTTACAGATCCGTTTAAAATAGTCTCTTTTTTGAAAGCCTCTAATCTTATTTTAAAACTTAACACAGTCCCACAATTCTTGACATCCGACATTTAAATTTTTTTTCCTAAAATTTTTTTTCCTATGCAAGATTTAGACTCAAATTTGTTTATATAATTCAAATCGTATGTTATTGCCCACGTTAAGGGGCCTGTTAATAATTAATTAAATTATTAACTATTTTAGATTTAATAATAATGTTATGCAAGAACTTTTGGGCCATTCTGTGTAATTTGAAAAGTAATTATGCTTGGATTTTATCTAACTGGTTTATGTCAATAGGGAATATTCGAAGAAGATGCAGGTTTGATGAATCATGAAGGATATTTCTCAAATTTTTCGACTAGTCGTAACAACACTCCTTCTGATAGTGCCACCTATTCTATTGATAGGTAATATAAGTTAAATTGTATCATAATCTTGATTTATCTGTGCAATAAAACCACTGCAATCCATTTCTGACTGCTGCTACGATTTGAATCTACATGATACGTATTTTAAATTTCTATCCATAACGAATTTATCTCACTTCAGTCTATGGTAAGAAGTATGCTACCCTTACTTGGGACAGTGTCATTACACATGGAATATTTATGCTTTTTGGATTTTGCTCCTTTTTGGGAACTGCTGTTTCATCATTCAAGTAAGCTTTTTACAGTTTTAGCATAAATTATAAATAGCTCTGTATATAATTTAGATATAATAATACAACACACTACTATTAGCCAAAAGTAGGTAAATTTAGCATCTCTACTTTAACTGACCCTAAGGTTCATCTTTGTTGCAGTAAAATCATCCTATGAAAGGTGAATGAAACTGTGAATTAAGCCATGGTATGTTGCTCACATGATTGAGCTTGTGTTTAAATAATATCACTGTTTGGCAATGATTTTGCTGAGGTTGACATTTATGGGCATTGATTTTTCTGGTGATGAAAACTGAATTTTTTTGTATACACTGTCCTGTATGTATTAGGATTCTTGATTCACTAATCATTGAATTAAAGTGATCAGTTTATTGGTATTTGCATTCACCCTTAATCATTTACTATTGAACTCAACACAGCTTATGCAACTGTACCATCTCACAGTAGATTGATAAGTTTCCATAAGTTAGCATACTCTCTATTGCAGGAATTTACCCATCAAGTCTCGAATGACTAGAAAGTTGATACACGTCCTTCTTCACACCTGCTGCCTGGTCTTTATGTTTATTGGCTGGGCACAAATCCACAAGATTACTGAGAAGAGCCATGGTGGTCATGGTGGTCATGGCGATGATAGCCATGATCATGGATCTGAAGACCATTACCTAAGGTATGACACTGATACAATTCTTTAATAGCAATAAGTTACCAAACACTAGACAAATATCTTCTCTCAACAATTGATTATGTTTGGTTGTTTTGGTATTGTATACTTCATAATTACAATAAAAAGTATCAGCTAGAGCTCAAGCTAAATAAATATTCATGATTAGCAATTCCCCCCAGTGTTCACAGTTGGTTGGGAGTGTTGACAATGACTGTCTTCTGTCTTACGTACCTGTTTAGTGCAGTCCTTTTCAACCCCTATCTGAAGTTCATCAAGCCATCTATTCGCATGGCAGCCAAGCCTTTTCACATATCGTAAGTAAATACTGAAATTTAGTAGCACTAGTCGAGATTGCAGTATTTTGAGACATAATAAGAATAATTACGTTTTTATGTCAATCACACACAAGCAGCTCAGGTATTATGACCAAGCTTCAATATTTAAATTTATCTTGTTACATTGCTATCAATAAATCAATTGGATCCTTTTGTATTTTTCATAGCATATAACGGCCATTATATGTCAGCATATCTCTTTATTCTGAAACTATCCTCAGTTCAGGCATAGGAGTGACAGTTCTGGCTGCAGCTGCAACAACTACAGGTCTTTATAACTACATAGAAAAGTATGTTCCTAACGTATTTAAATCAAGTCAAACTCCTGCCCTACGATTGATTCTCAGTGCTGCTCTCTTTGTCGGAATTGCCTTCTTTGTCCTAATGTTTTCCCTTGGAGTTATCCACCCAAATCAAACGGGTAAACCAAAGGTTAATCAAACGCAGCTTAAAGAAGTGATGGTGAATGAAACAGTTGTCAATTCTTGAGCTATCACTAAACCTATCATAGTTGGTGTTATTTTCAGAGCTGTAACATCGACCAGAACTCTGCACTTTGTAGTGATAGATTAGTTTTAAACAATAATTTTAGTAGAATTTATTATTTAAAGTATTAGTATAAGATACAAAGTTGTACAAATTATGCATTGTAAATTTAAAGATATTATTGTAAACTAATTTAGATTTCCTTTTGTAAAACAGATAAATTAAATAATCGATATGTTCAGCTCTTTGAACTCTCTCTATTGCTTACTTTTTATGTATTTTCTATGTGACCCATTAATGTGTTTGTGTATGAGACAGTGGGTAACTCCCGAAAGAATTAAAAAAAAACCTAAAATTCATTTTTGAAAATTCTGAGGCCCACTTCTTATACACTGATACATACATACATACATACAAATATTTTGTTCGTTTTTTAATTTCAGATATAGAATTGTAAACGAATTTTTATTAACCTTTGTAACTCAGATAAATGAATTCATTATTGGATTCTATTTCAGGATTTTGATGCTAAGTAGACTGTATATAAATTCTGTTAGTTGTAGATTATATCTATATAAATTTCTCATCATGCGTAATCCTAGTTCCAAAAGTAAAGGTTAAATGAATGATGAAATTAAAATTAATGACAAAGGATGATGGCACATCAATGCTATCACATAACAATTGATTATTTCAGACCATTGCATTTAAATATAATAATCTGTGAAAGATGCAGATCGTCTCCACCACAATATGTTTTTTAAAAATCGTGTCTAAAGAGAGCTATTTAAAAATTAAAGTTCCTTGAAGACAAATTTGGAATGATAAGACGAATAGGAATTATATGTGGTCCACTCGTGTGTCTTTCTTTAGTTTTAGATCCTATGTTCTTCAGGTTCTGACATGGTTTTAATATTTCTATATTGAAATGTTCAACTTTGGTTAAACAAGTCAGATTTGAGCTGTTATAATACACTGACACTTCAGACAGTGATCGATATGTTGTATCGACTTTAAAGAATTTAACTTTCAAATTGTGCGTATATTCGAATTGTTTGATTTATACATGTGATCATGTAAACAATATCACAATGATTCTAAGGTTAGAATGCAAATATCACGTCTGCCAGAGGAGTTGTTAGAGTACATTTTCTCTTATCTGCCAGCTTCCTGGGAACTACAAACAGCATCCCAAGTATGTCAACTATGGAGGAAAATATGTTTGCCTATCTGTAAGCACAGACACAGTCTATTTTTAGAGGAGGCTCAGAAAGGAAACCTGGTATGGCAATGTGCAGCTTCAATTGATCAATCACTTGCCCCGGAATTCAGGATATCAGCGGATGATTCAATGCTCTCTAAGTCTACTTGTGATTCTCAAAATCTTTGGACTTTGGGTGACAAAAAAATCCATCAAGCTCAATTTTATGGGCAGAATATTTATATTTGTGGCTGGTCTTACTGCAGTTCAAATTCAGGAGATGACAGTTATCAACTTTACCAAGATATCTTCAGTTACAATGTTATAGATCGAAAGTGGGAGACATCTTTGGATTGTGAGTTGCAGGGAGGGAGTCAACTAGCACAATTTGGAGAAAATCTCAGATTGGCAGGATATAACATGACAAGATTCGAAGATAATCTCATTCTCATCGGTGGGTATGACACTAGAACAAAACTAGAAAACATGAAAGTGCGCTTTTACAATATTAGCCTAGGTCTATGGTACAGTGTTGGCAATTATCTTCATCTGCAGAACTACAATGCAGTACCTGTTTGGGTGATTCTGGATTTTTAAAACTGATACTTATCAACGGGAGTCCTCAGAACTACTTGCTGGTGCCACATCTCTCAGTTAAAGTTCTTTTAATGCAAAAAAGAGATTATACATACGTGTTGGCTGATTCGAAGTCCTGGACAATAGAAACTATTTATCTAAGGCAATGGCATGCACAAACTAAGATTGACGAACAGACTATATTGATATATGGTGGCTTCGCCTCTCAAGAATTTGAATACTCCTCAGTAAGAAATGATGCGGGATTAATCACATTTAACGAATCTTTTACTGACGTACAATTCACAAACGTTACTGTTAAAGATGTTGGTATATACGGAGGTTTGTATCCTGCATTTGTTGATAATCCCGTGAGGGTTGGAAATTCACTGATTTTCATTCAAAAAGCAATTTACCTTTTCGAAACTAGTGATCCAATATTAAGGGGATGGGATTTTCATCCTCAATTTGATGATAGCAATAGAGTTCAAACTCACAAAAATGAATGTTACACTTTTATCTTAAATTTTGATCATGTTCAAGAAAAAGGTGAAATTAGCTGGAAACCTGTCACTAAAAATCCAGTTCTGAGAACTTCTTTTCAGCCCATTATTCAAGTTTCAATTTTGGCTGGGGATGCTATTTACCTCTTCAATGGTTCGTCATACAGATGCTCCAGCAACCCAATACAGTTTAGTGTAACTGAAGAATCTGTATAATAGTTATTAGTAGTAGTAGTATTACATGGCATCTGTGATAAAACAATTTTTCGTCACCATTTGCCCAAAAAGCTAAAGTAAATATTTGATTATTGTAACCAGTTTCTTTTATATTAAACTGGGTGGTTGCAATATTTATAACTATGAGTCGTTAGGGTTTTTAAGGTTTTCAAAATTATTGTACAAAGTCAAATGCCGTTTTAGGTTCTGTTGATATATTATTATTCTTTTGTGTTTATAAATATGTGTTTGTAAATATTTTGTGTGTTTGTTAATATTTTGTGTTTATAAATATTACTTATTTGTATATCATTGATTTCTTCAATGATACACAATTTTGTGCTAACCTCTTTGACAATCATAAACGAGGGTGAAGGTGGGAGGGCCAAGTTTGTTTTAACAAATTACTAAGTGAATGGCATGAGTATTATACCTATAATTGTAATGTATTTATTGATAAACGTGATCATGTAAATAATATCACCATGATTCTAATATAAGGTAATAATGGAAATATCACGTCTGCCTGATGAGTTATTGGACTACATTTTCTCTAACCTATCAGTTGTATCAGAACTACAAACAGCATCACAAGTATGTCAACTATGGAGAAAGATATGTATTTCCATATATCGCCACAAAAATAGTCTATTTTCAGAGGAGGCTCAGGAATAGGAACCGACCGGATTGGGGTTTTGGCTGCCGGACCGGATTCAGCCGGATTTTGCCGGACCGGAACCGGTGGTTTCAGAATGAAATAAAAGGCAGCCGGATTTTGCCGGTTTTTGCCGGATGTTGCCGGAAAATTTCCTTCCTTTCCATGCCTAATCTTCATCGAGCACTTCTTGCAGCTTGCATAAGGGATCCCATTTTCTTCTGAGTAGAACAACCAGACGGACGATGTTTTAGATTTACTACTACTCGACTCGACTTAGGGCGGCTTCAACGTCCGAACAGATATAGTTTTTTTACAAATCTTCCTATCTACTACTAGACATTGCTTAAACAAGCAGTACGTAGCAGACACAATGTAACACGAGTAGACACGAGTCACGACACTAGACGAGTAATAATCAGAAATGATATCTAATTGGCATATGCTGCCAGACCCCTGATTGAGCGCGTTTGTGCGAATTCCCTTTTTTTCATGCAAGTCTGAGTATCATTGGGTCACGTGACTTACAACCAGAGGTGCTTAATAAGGTTGTTCGTAAGCAGGCACTAGATAGTACAGTACTAATCACCGTCTGGCGTCTAGAGCTGAGTCACGTGATTGCAGTAATGAGCTAATTAAGTAGCTACCCAGACCCTGAACACGTGACCTTCATATTTCGTATTTCATAATCAGAAGATTAAATACTGCCAATTTTGCGATTATAGCCGGGGGCTAGCCCAGGGAGGTGGCCCAAAATATTTTCCGGTTTTTTCTAAGTCCGCACCTACCCCTCGATACCCCTCGATACACTATTTTGTATTCTGGACCCCGGTAATGCGATCTCGGAAGGCAGGCCTCCCCTTTGCAACACGAGCTCGGAAGCGGGAGCTCTCGATACAGGAGGTACGTCTCGAGAACGACTCGGACCGAAAACTTCTAAGTTAAAATTTTTCGAAGTTTTTCTGAAAACCACTTTTTTCCACGATTCAGGCTACCCTGTTCATTATTAGCCGAAAATATTTTTTCGGTTTTTCGAAGTCCCCACCTACCCCTCGATACACAATTCTGGACTCGATGTTTCCCCTGGTAATGTGATCACGGAAGGCAGGCCTCCCCTTTGCAACACGAGCTCGGAAGCGGGAGCTCTCGATACAGGAGCTGTACGTCTCGAGAACGACTCGGACCGAAAACTTTTAAGTTAAAATTTTTCGAAGTTTTTCTGAAAACCACTTTTTTCCACGATTCAGGCTACCCTGTTCATTATTAGCCGAAAATATTTTTTCGGTTTTTCGAAGTCCCCACCTACCCCTCGATACACAATTCTGGACTCGAGGTTTCCCCTGGTAATGTGATCTCGAAAGGCAGGCCTCCCCTTTGCAATACGAGCTCGGAAGCGGGAGCTCTCGATACAGGAGGTACGTCTCGAGAACGACTCGGACCGAAAAACTTCTAAGTCAAAATTTTTCAAAGTTTTTCTGAAAACCACTTTTTTCCACGATTCAGGCTACTCTGTTCATTATTAGCCGAAAATATTTTTTCGGTTTTTCGAAGTCCGCACCTACCCATCGATACACAATTCTGGACTCGACGTTTCCCCCGGTAATGTGATCTTGGAAGGCAGGCCTCCCCTTTGCAACACGAGCTCGGAAGCGGGAGCTCTCGATACAGGAGGTACGTCTCGAGAACGACTCGGACCGAAAAACTTCTAAGTCAAAATTTTTCAAAGTTTTTCTGAAAACCACTTTTTTCCACGATTCAGGCTACTCTGTTCATTATTAGCCGAAAATATTTTTTCGGTTTTTCGAAGTCCGCACCTACCCATCGATACACAATTCTGGACTCGACGTTTCCCCCGGTAATGTGATCTTGGAAGGCAGGCCTCCCCTTTGCAACACGAGCTCGGAAGCGGGAGCTCTCGAGCTGTACGTCTCGAGAACGACTCGGACCGAAAACTTTTAAGTTACAATTTTTCGAAGTTTTTCTGAAAACCACTTTTTTCCACGATTCAGGCTACCCTGTTCATTATTAGCCGAAAATATTTTTTTGATTTTTTTTCGGTAAAAAAAACTGAAATCCGGCAAAAATCCGGCAAATTTTTTTCCAGCCGGAGCCGGAACCGGAACCGGATTTTGAAGCCGGATATCCGGCCGGAACCGGATTCAGCCGGATTTCCGGTCGGTTCCTACTCAGAAAGGAAACTTTGTATGGCAATGTGCACTTTCCACTGGATCACCTACAGTTGTTCCAGATTCAAGAAAAAATATACATGATTCAGTGCTGTCGACTAGAACTTGTGTTTCCCAAAGGCTTTGGAAAATTGGTTACAAACGAATCCATCAAGCTCAATTTTATGGCCAGAAGATTTATGTTTACGGTTGGTCCTATTGCAGTTCAATTTCAGAAGCCAATCACCCATTGCCAAATCGAAATACGTATAGCTATGATGTTCTTAACAAAACGTTGGAGATATTATTGTGTGAAACGCAACCTAAATTGTCTGGCTTCAGTCTGGCAAGGTTCAAAGACAATTTAATTATATCGAATGGATATCATAATGAGATATTGAAGGAAAATCGTGAAGTGCACTTTTTCAATATTAGCAAAGGTGTATGGTACAAAGCTGGCTCAACACATTACAGCCAACCTCACAGCAACTCAGTCTGTTTGGGTAAATCTGAATGTCTGAAACTTATACACATCTCTTTCGTAAACTATGATATTTCTTTTGGAATCCATCTTTCAATCGAAGCTAATTTCATGGAAAAGATAAATCATAGATATGTAGTAGCTCGATCAAAGCACTGGAGGTTACCAGATACGTATCTTAGGCAGTTGTATGCCCAAACTAAGGTCGATGACCATACCATTTTGATTTATGGGGGTTTCATAGATGGAGACTATGAATTTTCTTGCATAAGAAACGATGCAGGGTTAATCACATTTAACGAATCTTTTACTGACGTACAATTCACAAACGTTACTGTTAAAGATGTTGGTATATATACGGAGGTTTGTATCCTGCATTTGTTGATAATCCCGTGATGGTTGGAAATTCACTGATTTTTATTCAAAAAGCAATAACAATTAAAGAATCTGGTGTTACTCCAACGTTACTTGAACAAGACCACGATGGGTATCTAGCCCAACTGCTATCCTTAGATTATGGTTGTACTTACGCTTTTATTCTCAATTTCGATATTGTTAAAGAAAAAGGTGAAATTTGTTGGAAACCTGTCGCCAAAAATCCCGTTATTAGAACACCGTTTTGGCCTATTATTCAAACCTCAGTTCTGGCTGGAAATACTATTTACCTCTTTAATGGTGTGTCATACAGCAGCTCAAGCAACCCAATAAAGTTTTTTGTGAAATAATAGTCGACTTAGAATTTGGGTGATAATGCAAAAACAATTTGATATCTTGTTTAACTTCAACTACAATTATTGTCCCTTAAATTATTCAGGGGATTCTCACGTGATCAGACACGTTGGTAAAAGTGGGGAAATAGATTAATTTTTCTGAAAAATCCTCTATTTTCTGTCATGTGTAAATGAGCGTATTTGACATTTTTTGCGTTATATTCATTATTAAATATTGTGATTTTTTGTAACCAGTAAATTTAATAACACATTGGTTCCAAGGTGATGGAAGTATCATGTCTTCCAGAGGAGTTACTTGAACACATCCTGTCCTATCTCTCAGTTGTATGTGAACTACAGACAGCATCTCAAGTATGCCTACAATGGAGGAAAATATGTGTTTCTATTTATCGGCACAAACACAGCCTATTTTTAGATCAAGCCCAGAAAGGTAACTTTGTTTGGAGACAGTGTGGTGAGGTTAGCCGGGCGAGATCCCTTCATTTCGTTCCAAAACATGTCAAACCCAGGAATTCAGCCCAGCAACTGGGAATGCCTGCCCCGCGATCTTTTCACCATGCTGCGTTCCACGGACAGTGTATATACGTGTACGGTGGAGAGAGCGGTGGGACAGCGCTAGCCAGCTCCTCCTATTTCAATGACATGTTCAGATACAACGTGTTGCTACAAAGCTGGGAGAAGGTCAGCACGTCCGGCACCCCACCCACACCCAGATCTAAAGTTAGTGTAACACGAGTCAAGGACACTCTTATTGTGACGGGGGTTGTGTTTCTACCAGACTCAGAACGTCTATCAGGCCCGCTGAGATTGTTCATGATGATGTTCATTTCTTTGACATTGGGAGGAGTTTGTGGTACAAATCTCCGGGATCGTTACTAAACATACGGTGTTACCACGAGTCCACATGTCTGGGTGACTCCACTAAACTTGTGCTATCTGGGGGGTTCAGTTCAGTGGTCGACATGTGTGATGCTATTGAGGTTTGTGACTTGAAAAGAGATCTTAACAGTGGACTTTTCACCGTGTCAGAGTCGAGAAGGTTTCAGTTTCAGCATCTTCGAATATTTCACTCCCAAGTTAAGATAGATGAACAGACACTGTTGATATATGGGGGTATGACGCAAGCTCCAGATTTAACAAGTCAGCATTTGATACGAACAGACGCTTGCTTGATCAAGTTTAATGATAATTTTTCAGATTTCCAACTAACCAGCATTGTTGTTAATAATTGGGATGTTTACAATGGTCTTTATCCGGCGTTTGTCAACGACTTTGCTAGGGTGCAAAATTCTTTGATTTATTTTCAACGATCAGGCTACATCAAAAAGGTTCCAGACCATGGTCAAAACTTGAATTTTTACGAGGCAGATACGATCAGAAAACCTACGGGAGATGAAATATACAGACAAGATTACTACCATACCTTCATACTTAACTTTGATGGTATTCTTGAAAACAATTCAGTATCCTGGATGCCAGTAACTAAAAACCCCCCACTTTTAGCCCCGAGGTATTCCATATTTCACAGAACTATTTTAGTGGGGGACGGTATTTACGTGTTCGGGGGCACAGTGCTAGATCAGAGAAGTAAGCAACCCAGCAGCTCTAACAATCTTTACAAGATAACCGTAATGAAGGGCCCTGTCCAGTGATTATTGCTGTTGTGATTCCTTTTTTTTGAGATGGTATTTTGTTTTGAATTGTTTAGGATGTTAACTGTAACAAATTAAAATTTGAGTAGAATTTTTTGTAGTTATGATATTTTTGCACATTTTTGGGATTTAAAAGATTCCCTATGATTGTAGAAATATTTGAGGATTTTATATATTATCGCATCAGTTTAGGCATTGTGTTACCTTTATTTATCTACTCAATTTCTTTATTCGAATTTCACGACAATCTAGTTGTAAGTACATGATTTTGTATTCGAATTGTTCGGATAAAATATGTAAAACCATTATAATATACTATGCTGGTTTGCATACCAAGATTAAAATTCTCAATTTACCAGTAGCTAATGGTTATGAAGGAAGAAGAAACCGAGATGGAGGTTCATGTATAATGAAGAGGAAGAGAACATGATTCTGAGGTTCGAAGCTGTCCATGACTTCGCGCCCCTTACCACAGGCGAAATTGAGCTGCGACAAGTGAGTTTCAATGATATTTACATTATCTACTCTGCTTTATTTTATTAGAGACTAGAAAACCCGTGGTCACAGGGAAGTGTGCTAATAGTAATACTAATAGTATTTTTGTTAGTAAGTTTAAATCGCGTAAAAAAATATCCTACACAACCGAAGATACAGCCGATTAAAATGTTGCTCGCACTAAACACAACTTAATATCAACAAAACCGATAAAAAATGACGTTAAAACAATCATTGCACGTGCACGTGCGTGTAGCAATCCTTGTTACCATGGTTACTACGCAACTTCCTATTTCTCGTCTGATTTGCACGTGGGCGGTCGTACATACAACAAAAATAATTCTCTGAATTATAGTAGAGACTAGAAAGCCCGTGGTCACAGGGATGAAGCTAGTAGGTTTCTATTTTTTGTTATTAAGTTTAAATCGCGTAAAAAGATATCCGTCATAATCGAGTATACAGCCGATTAAAATGTTGCTCGCACTAATCACAACGTAATATCAACAAAACCGATAAAAAATGACGTAAAAACAATCATTGCACGTGCATGTGCGCGTTTCAACACCATTACCATGGTTACTATGCAAATTCCTATTTTTCATCTAATTTGCACGTGGGCGGTCGTACATACAAACACAATTCTTTGAATTATAGTAGAGATTGATCATTGTAACTTAACCTCAAAATTCAGTAATTTGGCTGATTTTTTAACCACTTTTATGGTTATAGCTACGGTCAGTTTTTATACGCCACAACTGGTGCATTTTAATTAATTGAGAGCCCTAACGGATTACAGCGGAATTCGCGAGGGAAAATAAAACTATTAATGTAGTTAGAGAGTTAGGGTTGCATTGTTCAAACTCTAGTTTTGACTTTCGATTTTATAAATTCATCGTTCCAAAACCATATCCTAATGCTCCAGATTGTGCTCCAAGTTTGTTCTCGAATGTTTTTTGTGTCCGTTATAGAAATTTCCTGTAACTTAAAATCCCGGTCTCTGCTTAGTACAAGTCCCGGCCAAAACATGCAGACCAAGTCCTGACCAAGTAGTGTAATTTGACAATAATGGGGGTAATCCAGGGAGATGTGGTAGTAATGAAGCAGACACCGCCTGATAAGAACGAATGGTGGAACGGTACCAACACCCGCTCCCAACAAGTGGGCTACTTTCCCGGTAACTACGTGCGGGAAGTTGCTCCAAGTCCAGGTAAACACACGTGACCTGTTTTCTATTTCCCTTCTTGAGTTCTTTTATTTCTGCTCTTTATTCCTGCTTACTACTCTAAAATTAGTTGAAAACTAGCACGGCATACAATTACTCCACCCACTCACATGACAACCCCACCCACTCACATGAAAACCCCACCCACTCACACGACAACCCCACCCACTCACACGACAACCCCACCCACTCACACGACAACCCCACCCACTCACACGACAACCCCACCCACTCACACGACAACCCCACCCACTCAAACGACAACCCCACCCACTCACACGACAACCACTCAGGAGCGCCCAGTATACCGCCGCGCCCACCCCGCCCTGACAGTATGGGTAGTGTTACAGACTCCAACAGTAATGTGTCCGTCAACGCTTACTCTCCTCTACCTCCTACTCCTCCTACTACTACCTCTCCTGGTGCGGAGAGAGGTTTTTAAATGCCATCAATTAGTTTATATTTTAATAGCCATTACGGGTATCGGCCTTACAAAATGACACGAAAAAGGAGATGGCTCTGAAATGCACAAAAATGAGTTTTGTTCATGTTTTATAATCCAGATAGGTAGTTCAACAGGTATATTTTTCTTCCTGGGGGTTGATTTGATTGAAAAACCGTAAATTTTGCGATAAAAATTGTCATCTTTGAAATCTTCCAAAAAAACATGCCTTACAAAATGACAATTTCGTCACGGCTGTCATTTTTTAACAGCAGCCTATAGAAATTTGATTTCACCTAGGACAGTTAGATAAATATATTAGATTGAAGATTAGAATAGCTTTTACAGGAAAAAGGATGATTAAAAAAAGTTGGGCAATTTCGCGTGAGATAGTGCCTTACAAAATGACAACCCAAAACGGCATCACTTCAAATCCGATTTGGGAAAAAGTTTCATTATTCTTTCACGTGTCTTACTGTTAGATATATATGTTGTTTATATTATACCAGTTCTGTTTTTACCAAAATATATTTAAAAAGGAACATTTTTTTTACTTTGAAAAAATTTAAAAAATGTCATTTTGTGAGGCGTAAAAATCATTTTTTGTTTTCATACTTGAACACAGTATTTGGTTATATTTGATATTTTCTATGGCTGGATAGATCACTTTTCAGTGTTTAGTTAATAATAATAATAAATTGAAGTTTAAGAACACCACTATTAAGATAAACTTATACTCAGCAGTGTTTAATCTAGTCATCCCAGAAACTATCATGATAAAAGTTAGGACTGCTATCAAATACTTGAAAATATATCGTTCATATGAGTGAAACTTAAAACTAAAGAACTAACACTAAATATAGGCCAAAATCAGTCATTGATATAGTTTTTCAAGTTCATGCTGAGACAGTTTAAATAAGAAAGTTTTTAGAAATGCTTTAAAAGATTCCAGGGATTCAGCTGATGTGATGGTAGTAGACAGACGGTTGTAGATCTTTGGAGCCACGACTGAGAAGCTTCGCTCGCCAAACTTAGAGTTGAACGATGGAACCATAAGTTTCAATGTGTGACCATGATGAGTGTACCGAAACATGTCTTGAATATACGTTGGAGCGAGCCCTAATAATGATTTGTGAGACAACAGTAATATTTTGAACACAATCCTTTTCTTTACATCCAGCCAGTGAAGATTAGTCAGGTCGTCTTCCAGGTGGTCATGCTTATATTTACCAGTAACGGCTTTTGCAGCAGCATTTTGTAGTAACTGAAGCTGATGTAAAAGCTTCTCGCCAATACCAAAATATAAACCGTTACAATAATCTAGACATGATACCACTATACTGTTGACGATGACTTTAATCTGTTTGAGATTCAAAAGGAAGCGGATTTTCCTGATATTGCGCAAGGTATGAAAGCATTTCTTCTTGAGATTTATAATTTGTTTATCAAAAACTAGTTGATTGTCCATAACCAACCCTAGATTCTTAACGGTGGGGACAAACATAACTAATGTGTTAGGAGCAATTTCAACCCCATGAAGTTCAATCTCATTTAGTACCTTTCTAGGTCCAAAGACTATAAGCTGAGTTTTAGAGTCATTTAATTGCAGATAATATTGAGACATCCAATTCTTTATCCTCAAGAAACAATTTCTCAGTTGGTTTGTTAAGGTTTTCACCTGATCTGAGGGTTTGAAAGATTTCATAATTTGATGATCGTCTGCATAACCAATAATAGAAAACCCAGATTCTTTTACACAGCTGTACAATGATCTAATATAGATGTTGAAAAGTACAGGGCCTAGCACAGAGCCCTGAGGTACTCCAAAACGTAAAATTATGGTTTCAGAGACTGATTTACCAAGTCTGATACGCTGACAACGTCCTGTTAGGAAGCTGGTGAACCAACTCAGAGCTGACCCCCTTATTCCTATTTCTTGCCTCAAGATCTTCAGAAGTAAATTATGATCCACAGTATCAAAGGCTGCACTGAGGTCCAACAGCATAACAACAGTAGCTGTTTTTTCATCTGCAGCAATAAGGACATCATTAACGATTTTTATCAAGAGAGTTTCTGTGCTGTGGTGTTTCTTGTAGGCAAATTGTTCCTGACAATTCAGATTATTCCGACTAAGGTGCTCGTTAAGTCTTCTCAAAACTACTCTCTCAATTAATTTTCCCAGGAATGTAAGGTTGGAGACAGGTCTGTAGTTTTTCAGTATATTCGGATCCTGAGACTCATCTTTCACTAGGGGAATAACGTCAGCCAGTTTAACACCATCCATACTGCCGGTGGACAGCGATTGGTTAACAAGATCAACCCAAACATGCAATAGGGAAGTGATATTATCCTTAACAAGATCTTGTGGTAAACAGTCATTAGGTGAACAATTGATTCCACTTTCCTTGATTATATCTTCAAGTTCTGAGATACAGGTTGGTTCAAATTCGAAGAGGGGTGTTACAGTAGTATCAGTGCAATCTGGTATAGAGGTAACAGGTATGTTATCACGAATCTTTTCAACCTTTTCAGAGAAGAACTTGTTGAAGTCAGATGCAAGTAGTTCAATATTATCAGTGTAGTCAGGTAGAATTCTACTTTGTTTACGATCCATTACCTTATTGACAACTTGATAGAGAGTTCGAGTTTTATTCTCTGACTTATTGATAACAGTTTCCAAGAAATCTTTCTTTTTAGTCAAAGCTAGTGTAGTAGCCTCATGACAGAGTTCTTTGTAGTGCAGAAAGTGTCCCTCAGATCTATTTTTCTTTTTCTCGGCTCGACGACGAAGTTTTCTCAGATCTCTATATTCCTTATCAAACCATGGAGCTTTATCCACTACTGACACTCTTTTGCTAATTAATGGAGCATAAACATCAAGAAGGTTCACTATAGAGGCATCAAGACTCACTACAGAAGTCTCAAATGATTCTGAAACATCAAACTGATCAAGAACATCATTAAGGTCACGTGAAAAGGTATCCTTGTCTACAGCTTTAATATCTCTGAATTCAATTGATTTGAAATATTTCTTTCCTAAAGTGTTGCTTATGTTACAGATTATAGGAAAGTGATCTGAGCCTAGTGTATCGCTATTGTCAATAAACACATTATTGCAATGAAGATGGTTGTTCAGCGAGAAAGTAAATAACTGATCTAGACATGCACCACCAATGTGTGTTGGACGATCATACAGAGCATGAAGACCATATGATCTGAGTATCTTTAGAGTATCAGATGCAACCCTGTTGTTACCATCAAAGTGTATGTTGAGATCTCCGGCCAGGACAATATTATCACAGCGAGTAGAAATATCAGAGAGAAGAAGGTCAAGTTCCTGTGTAAAAGCAGAGGTTAAAGGGCGAGTCCTGTACATTACAACAAGAAGAATCTTATTAGAGCTGGTCTTAACTTTTCCCATTGTGAGTTCGAAATGTTTGAATACTATCCTACTCTTTTCCATAGAGCACGTTAAATTTGACCGAAATATGAGTGCAGTGCCACCACCCCTCTCGTTAAGCCTATAATTATGGTGGAGTGAGTAACCTCGTTCCTTAATAATAGCAGTGGTTACTGATGAGTTGCTAGTCAGCCACGTCTCACAAACAGCAGCAATATCAATATTTTTGTCCTCCAAAAGGCTCACAAAAAGATCAGCTTTGTTGTTGATTGATCTAGGATTAAAGAGAAGGAGGTTGAAATCTGACGATTCATTGGATCTGATCATTTGCTTTGATAAAAAGGAATTGTCTTCTTTATTCTTTCCTGATGTTCCACAAATACAGAACATCTGGGATCTCCAGTGTGATGATTAGTATCATTGTTTTTTGCTCTGACACAGTGACAACACTTGAAAACATGATCATCAGTCTTTTTTAAGCAATCTCGTGATTCATGATTTTCAGAGCAAAACCCACAAACTGGATCAGCTTTATTTTTACATTCTTTGCTGTAATGACCATACTCCTGGCAATTGAAACATCTAAGAACAAAGATACTGTCATAGACTTTACACATAGACTGGTATCCAATAAACACCTTGTTCCCTTGCTGAGCAATTATGGATCTAATAACATTGCTGACTTTTACAATAGCCTTAAAGATGTCTTTAGTTAACGTTTGACATGTTTTAGGAGTTGTTATTACTCTCTGCTTTCACAAAATAGAAGCTTTATTTCGTTGAGTTTTGAAATCAGAGTTTGAAATCAAAGAGTTGGAAATCAAAGTTTTGATATCAGAACTGCACTTTTTTAATGCTACTCGATTGTTAACTGTCAGATTATGATTATTTTTAACTCCTTCTTGTATTGACTGTCTCTGATCCATTTTAGATGATGAAAATAATTCAATCTGAAACATTTTCATTTTGTGAGGCTTTTCGGTGTCATTTTGTGAGGCATTTTGATCAAAATTGATGATCAAACAAACAAATTTAGGCTCATCATGAGCTTACTGGGTTTAAGAATACCAATAATTAGGCAAGGGGCATCCAATATAAATATGCCATCTTTGTATCATAAAATAAAATTGTCATTTTGTGAGGCATAACACTGTCATTTTGTGAGGCTAGGTCATTTTTTTGTCATTTCTTCTACCAAAGTCACTAAATCAGTTTTTTTATTTGACCAGAGTAGTCTTTGATTGACATAAGTCATGGTAGTACCTGGTTTTCTGGGGTTAAATTCAAAACTTTGGTCTCCATTCTGGGTAACAGTTAGGCGGGGCAATGACTGAACAGCAAAAACGTCCATATTTATGTAAGAAATATAGATTCTATGTCATTATCATTCCTTGGGAAGTGTTAATTAATGCTTTTTCTTTCATACAGTAAAAGGAATAGGGTTCAATGTATAGGGAACCTAAGCTACAGCATGGTCTATGTGGGCTGTCATTTTGTGAGGCCTGTCATTTTGTAAGGCCGATACCCGTAAGAGCTTTTAAATCATTATAATATCAAAATTAGAAAGACTTTAATTTTGTAAAACAGCAATTTGCGATTAGAGGTAGAATCTTTATTGGGCGTGTGGCCTGCTTTATAGTACTAAGGTGTTGATTAATGCCTTCTTACCACGGGGGGGATGCAACGTCAATTAATGTCAGTATTCCATAAAAACCCCAAACTGACATTGACATTAATTGACATTAATTGACATTAATTGACATTAATTGACATTAATGTGTCTTGAAATTTGAGATTATCATTATTCGATAAATATTCAAGATTTTCACGTCTATGTAAGTTAGACCGGTTCAAAAAAAGAAAATGTCCTTGAATTATTATGAGTATGTTCTTATCTGTTGATCCTTAGGTTCAAAGACCACCAAAAAAATTTCAGCTTCCAACTCTTCCATCTTTGGTTTCCCATCGGCCACGCCCATATTTTATTGGTTTCTTATACAGGTAAAATATCTAGAATCGGCTTTTTTAGTATGAAGGAGTAATGTTAGCTGTTTAAGATTCGTTATTCAAATATAAATGTCATGAAGGCATTTCGTTTAATGTGGGTTTTAAGTTCTGATTATGTTGAGAACCACGCCCTTGGATAGCCACGCCCATTTAAGAAAAATAAATTTCGGAAAACCGTATTATTTTAGTTTTATTGTTTAATGATCTGAATTTTTTTCACATTTCACATTTCCATATGTGATAGTAGTGAATAAATTGATGATATAAACGTTCTAAAGTGCTAAAAATATGGTAGAACTACATAATCTCTGGTCGAAAAATATCGTGTCAATTAATGTCAGTATTCCAAAATTTTGCAAAACTGACATTGACATTAATTGACATTAATTGACATTAATTGACATTAATTGACGTTGCATCCCCCCCCCCCCCCCCCCTTACCACTAACATACTCTTTTCTTCTGAAAATATACCCTGAGATACTCCAAATATTTACGGACTGTACAACTGTTACATAACATTATAATGATACACTTTAACATTTACTTGAGTATGTTAGGACGGAAATCCTTGTTTCTCTCCGTGTATAGCAGTACTAGTAGTATTTAGTAATCCTGTAACTGTACATGTAACTGTGTAGATCACGTGACTAGTAACAGTACATAGTATATGTGAGTAGTGCGCACTGGTAATTCTCGACGAGAGAGAGAGTATAGTTCACTGTTATCTGATACCACCTGTACACATGTGGATTGTGGAATGTACTGAAGTCATAAAAAGAGAGTGGGAAGAGAGAGAGAGAGTGTGTGTGGATGGTGTGAGCCGCGCGCACGCAGAACACTGTATATCACAGCGAATCTAACACCTGTCAAGTTTATTGGGCCCTTTATTAGCGCCGGAGTTTTGCTGATTGTGCGGATAAGGGCCTTGTCTGTGTGTTTTGTGTGTAGGTACGTGATTTTATGTTTTATGTACGTGGTTTGCTGGGTTGTCATATTGTTGTGTGGTGTTTGAGAGCTCTAGAAATATTACGCCCTGTTTTGTAGAATAGTGTACTGGATTAAGTAAAGCTACTCAAACTAGTACAATACAGTTAAACTGAATACGTTAAGCCAATAGCATAGAGCTATCTTGTTAAGTTAAAAAGTTGATATTTATGAACCTCAGTACAGTATAAAGTATTATATAATACAGTACATAATGTATAAACATCAAATGTATAAAAACTACGTTAAACTATAGTAGAGAAGCTAATATTGAATATATTTTGCAGGGAGTGAGGAGCTTACGGATCAGATCTGGTATTGGGGCCAGTGTTCCAGGTAACTTTATTCAACATTATTATTACTTTGTAATGAGTAAGTTTATTCAACATTATTTAATTATCATTACTTTTTGTAATGAGTAAGTTTATTCAACATTATTATTACTTTGTAATGAGTAACTTTATTCAACATTATTATTACTTTGTAATGAGTAACTTTATTCAACATTATTATTACTTTGTAATGAGTAAGTTTATAATTCAACATTATTTAATTATTATTACTTTGTAATGAGTAAGTTTATTCAACATTATTTAATTATTATTACTTTTTAATGAGTAAGTTTTATATTATCTTCATCATTATTTAATTATCATTTATTGCAACTTTAGAATAGGTAAGGTTTATATCTTCAGATAATCGTTTAATTGTTATTACTTTAAATATAATGTTACAACTTGAGCACATCACTACACATTCTACTATAACAGTCTCAAAACCTAGGATGTACTTTGTGAATAATTTTGTATTTATATTTTGTCTAAACTTCATTCTGTAAAACGTCATTAGTAGTTCTAAAGTTTAATGACGACTTCTGAATTTTGTGCGTTGCCATGGCCACCATAGCAACCACAATTAGTCTCCTATCCACAGAGGTAAATTTGGGTAATTTTGTCTCTAATCGACCAAATGAAAAACCAGTATCGCCAAGAAAGAATGTTTTCTCTGAGAAAATGTAAATACGATAATATTAGCAAAAAGGTGTCTTAATAGCTCATAACGTGCTCCACATATCCCCCTTTCCTAACATACAGTTGTTAAATCCGTCAAGAATATACCTCACCTCCCCCCCAGAATCCACATCTATTATTATAACATACAGTAACATTTTTATATACCTGATCACAGTGGGTTAACCACAGTAGAGATGGTTTCACTGATTCGACCAAATTCGCGGCAATCCGATCTTAGTTAAAACTAAGTTGTTGGTAGCAAAACATACCTTAACATTGGCTTCTAGCTGCATTATAACCTGAAAGTGTTAGTTAAGTAGTAATATTGAGAGATTCAAGTCCTCAATACGTCATACTTCACTTAACAAGCATCACATTTGTCCGTATCATTCAGATACTGAAAATTTCGCCACATTCTTTGCTGTGCTTGTTTGAATGACGTAATGAGCAAAACACCGCAAATGCAGTACTGATGTGAACAAGTGTTCATTTCACTTCCACTTCTAAACATGAAGGTAACATTGTTGTTCTATAGTTAACATTTGGGCTTAAATTAAAAATAGGGTTAACTGTAAGTGTAACAGTCAGATTTGTTAAAGTGGAAAAGTAGAGTACAGTAAGTAAGGCACAGTACATAATCGTCTCGTAGGGAAAATATGGTGAACTTACAAGTGTAAGCATGTATCTTAAATGTTTTTAAATAGAGGTTCCAAAAAATATTTCATCATAAAATCAAAAAGTGTTGTGGAAGTCTGTTAATTCTTGGTCCTTTCGATCTGGTTATTTACTCCTTGAGGGTAATCCCTGGTGATATGGCATATTTGTTCGGGTTGTTGCTATTTCTGGACGTTCTTGTTTAAGGATCTGTCTAAGTGTACATTATCATATTATAGTAGAATATAGAGTTTTAATGTATGGCAGAAGGTTCCATCCCACACCAACGTGAATACTCAAACCATTTGCATTCGACAAACAGGGGGCTGTCGCTGCAGTTAAGCAAAGAATCTGAATCGCAAAATGAGATGAAGTACGAAGTGTTGTACGGAGAGCATTGCTCAGACATATCATGTAAATCTATGGAGTTACAGGTCACGGTTGTACTGTGCAGTGTACAGGGTACAGGTCACAGTTGCACTGTGCAGGGTACAGGTTGCAGAGTACCACTTAAACTCTATCTCACGTCCATTTAATCATATCAGACAGTTCAAGTCTTCCCAGATAAACAGCCCACTCTCCTCTCGTAACACCCTCTGGTAAAGCCTCCTAGACCAGGAGTAAGTCCCTGACAGGTCAGACACAAGTTGAACTGTCAGCCTAAATCCAATAATTATGGGTAATTACTCGTAATGTGAACTAAAAGTGACAGTGGAATAAAGTACACACTGGACGAGAGCCGGAGTCTACATTTCCACTTAGAGAACTTTAATTTTACTGTTAGACGACATGCAGTATACACTGTAGATATTAGTGTTTAATAGCTATTTAGAATTTAGATGTGTATTTGTCTGCATGTAAGGAGAATGAATTGAAGGTGACTTAAAATAAAATACAACATAAATTTGTTTTATAACCAAGACATGATACAAGCTTACAAGTTTTACAAGTTTTACATGACTGCTTGATCTTATGATGCTACTATCTAATAGATGTTGAAATATATAATATTGTTGTGAGAATACAATTATTATGAGAAAGGTAACAGTCTGACGAATATGTCTTTTTATACTAAATCAATTCTTCGTCCTTTGTATTCTAATTAGATCATTAACTTGAGTAGGATAAATTTGTTAAATAACCTGATAGAAACGCAGAAAGAAAGCTATTATTTCATCGGTAAAAACAATGACTTCCATATTACATCCCCTAAATAACAAAACACTCGCTCATTTCACTTTTTATATTCTTCACCGGACCAATAGTTTTATCGCACTGGCGGCAAATATATGTTTATTATGTAAAGCAGCATTTAATCTTTAAAACGAAACTTACCTCTGTTATCTTATTATCATTGATCGTTCACCTATAATAAATATATTCTGCTTATGTGTACTTCCTTAACAAGTGGCATACATCAAAAGAACGCTCAGCATTATACCTTTATAAGCATTTAAGCACCCTTTAAAGTATAAACGTATTGTTCTCTACGCAAAATATGTAGCTTTTTGTTAGCATTTATACTCAAATAATTTCAGAGAGGAAGTAAATGAAACCATGAGAGATAAGGAAGACGGTACGTTTTTAGTAAGAGATGCCATGAACGCTAAAGGACACTATACGCTCACTTTAAGGTAACTTATCAATGCTACCATTTTACTAATTGTTTTTTTGTTGTTGTCTGAATTCCTATGTTTCCTTTCTTGAATCATACCATGAGTTGTTAGATTTCTATTCTTCGTATGATTAAAAGTTAGTATGAATTTAAGTGGCAGGGTTGCATCACACTTTAAATTTTGTTAAGTGACGTGCCTCATCAGCCAGCGCCATATAACAATGTCTTTCTGTTTAAAAATTCCTTGTGGGAAGCTTCAAGCACAATATAATGTATCCGGGTTTAAAAACTGTAAAATCTTCTGACCACCCACGAGCAGGCTGAACCGGACGAATAATAATTTGCTATTGCTAGTTTAGGAGTGTTTGTTCTATCCAAAAAAGAAATTAGCGCACGTAAGTTACCTCACATCCATTGTGTAGATTACACGATTGCAGCGCGCGCATGCGTGCAAAGCTCTGCATAACACAGGAACCCTCGACCAAACATTCCTTGTCTAATACTGTAATTTAAAGTTTACAGGGAGTTTGTGTTCATCCATTGATGGCAATTATAGACACGGTCTAACATTGTGTTCCTTTTATACTGATATAGGAATTGGTAGAATTTCCCAGAATTTCCTTGAACCTCCTAGAATGTTAAACAAAAACCTTAATCCTCACCTTTTCAGGAAAGCCGGTGTCAACAAACTGATAAGAGTTTTACACCACGATGGAAAGTATGGTTTCAGTCACCCCTTAGAGTACAGTTCGGTCACCCTGCTGATCCAGCACTTCAAATCTAGCTCACTTAGCCATTACAACAGTGGTCTTGACATTTGTTTAACGCAGCCTCTACCACGACCACTGGTAAGACCACATGTCCTTCTGTCTGTCAGTTTTATTTTATCTAACACTTATTTTACTTCGGAAATTTCAACAACCACATTGTTACAGAAGTTTAACCGGCCAATCACAGGAAGCCGAAGGATTCAATTATACATTAGGCCAGTGACGGTTAAGGCAGTGTGTACCATACTTTCTTTTCCTGAGTAGGGCATAAATTTTAGGTAGGGGCGCTCACAGTGGCCTAACGTTGCCTGTTGTTCTAAAAAGTGTGTATCTAGATCATAACGCCACTTGGCGCTCACCACATGGCTGGTGCCTGGTAGCTCAGCTGGGAATCGAACCTGGTACCTCGCGATTAACAAGCAGGAAGATTTAACAACTGAGCCACCCAGCCATAACCGATACGGCGATATTGGGCCTTTTTTTATTCCACAACAATTGTTCGCCAGTCTGAATCTATTAGGTTCTACGGTGGCAGACTTAAAACATGAGATATGCCGTATTTACTTATTTATTCCTGTAAGGAGGTCTTCGGATGCAATGCAAAAGAACCGCAATTGGCACATTTATTTTTGACTTACGAAGTCAAATATGCCTTTAAGTGCTAACTTTTTCAATTATTGCCGAAAACTGATTTTCGGTTCCAGAAATTATGGAAAAATATGAGTATCTGGTAAATTGGGCTATGAAGGTCCTAGAGATTTTAAAACTAGTGCAAACAGCGCAGAATGGCCATGTTTATATACAACTTATGAAACATTAGGTACCTTAAAATGCTTATTTTTCGAGTTATCAACATATAAAGGGAGGCAAAAATGACTAATTTAACCAATTTTGATATATTTTGTGCGAATTTTCTCCGGTTTTTCCCTCGACAACTTGGCTTCGTTTAAGCCAATTTTGAAGTCTCTACGACCATCAGGAGCAAACGGTCAGTTGCATCATTGGGCCAATATGGGCGTGGCCCTCCTGGGGTTTCCCCACGGTAAAAAATGTCTTCCCTCGGAAATCGTTCATTCATACCTTTTGGGAGGCAAAGTTTCGTGAGTATCAAGAAATTTGCAGGTACCAAACCAAAAATGTCCATAAATGACTGGACTATCATGTCATCATCACATATGTCTAAAAAATATTATCGCACTATGATCTGGAATATTTAACGCGACTGTTAAATTATATCCAGATCACGAGGATAAATTATGTGGCTCATGTCCACGTCACTATAATTAACAGAAACAAAACCTGAAACAGTCCTTTGAGCAGCATGATATTAGCCACAGATCTGTATCCTACATTGGGGAGGAACATGTGATTTGGTTGCTACTCAAAATAGCATCTTCAGACAACTGTAGAACTGAAATCGTATAATCTGTATTTGTCGGCATAATTTAAAATCTGTCTAAGATTACCTGTTTTTTGTTTGTTAACGAGTCTGTAGTCAATCGTGTGTCGCTTAAATGGTTACATTTTCCTTTGTCCTGGATGAGGCTCCGTCCTGTAGCTTCTCTTTTTACAACCTCAATGATAAGGTTTGTACACCAATATTGTCGTTATATGCTTCATAGTTACAGTTAAGGGGGCCGGGGGGGGTCTTCATCAAAATTCTCTCGAAATTGACTTTGTAGTTGTTTCTGATGGAGGGGAGTGATATCTATCAGCTGTTTTTGGTCCCATGGAAAAATATTTTTCCTAACCGAAAATATTGCCGGTCAAAGGTCAGCGCTTATGTGTAATTGTATTGCGCGAGCGATTTTCAATCGCGCGCCCTGAAAATCGAGTCTAAAAATCTATCTTCTCCTACATTTTTTGAGCAATCACCCTGAAACTTTCAGGATATGTTCTAAGGACCATTTAGAAGAGATTGTCGGGCCAGAATTTTGAGATAGGCCTTAGAAAATTTTTTATTCGATTTTGAAAATCTTGGACCTCGTATTTTGACGATTTTTTCAGGTCCAAGATTTTCAAAATCGAATAAAAAATTTTCTAAGGCCTATCTCAAAATTCTGGCCCGACAATCTCTTCTAAATGGTCCTTAGAACATATCCTGAAAGTTTCAGGGTGATTGCTCAAAAAATGTAGGAGGAGATAGATTTTTAGACTCGATTTTCAGGGCGCGCGATTGAAAATCGCTCACGCAATACAATTACACATAAGCGCTGACCTTTGACCGGCAATATTTTCGGTTAGGAAAAATATTTTTCCATGGGACCAAAAACAGCTGATAGATATCACTCCCCTCCATCAGAAACAACTACAAAGTCAATTTCGAGAGAATTTTGATGAAGACCCCCCCCGGCCCCCTTAAGCACGCACTATATTATCTCCAGAGAAAGCACATCCAATTTGATACGTATGAAATAGTTCTTCAGCTTGCTTGATTGTGCATTAAGTTGACGTTTATCGATAAACCAAAATTGAACGTAGTTGTTTTACAAGTGTGCCAAGAGCACACGTGCACCATGCAGAGCACACTCTTATCAATATGACAGTAGGTAACACCACAGATACACTTATTGTCTTTAGCGACTACAAACTAGGTTACCCATAAATAACAGGCTTGCTAAAATAATTTCAAAGAAAATTATTAACGGAATATAAAGGTATTTTTTGATGAAAGTAAATTTTGATAACTCTCACTACAATAAACAAATATTTTTTCTCCTTTGCAGGCTCGAGGTCGTGATGAAGCAGGGGATCTAGAGAATCAGTACAACACCATAAGCGACATGCTTGAGGAGCTCACCAAAAATTTCGAGGTAAGATTTTCAAGTTTTCTCAACGATGAGAAATTCGGGGGTTTTGCTCTGTTACGAGTTGAAGCGTTTGAACATCGATTTTTTAAAATATTTTGGAACCTCCCCTGGCATCTTGAGTATTCGGTAATATGTGTGGCTGGTGCTTGGCTGGTGATCTTACTTAATAAGAGCCAGGTATGTCACACCAATCTTTTTGCAGGGGCAGGCAAATAAGAAGCAGGAATATGTAGAAAAGATCGAGACAATAAACAGAATACAAACCGCCCAGCAAGATATTATCAACTGGTTGTCAGCTCAATCCGTGCTTTTCGAGGAACGATACAAGATGTCGTGAGTAAACCGTCAATATTGGTCAAAGTCCGCAAGATTTACTATGATATTTGTCTTTTGGACAACTTAGTTTGATTTAGATTTTATAAATTTATATCTATCTAAATGCTTGAAAAGTAAGGTAATGCCTAAATTCCAGGTCGCAAAGTGCATTGACTCTTATGAACGAACAATCAAATGCGTTAAAAAGTCAACGGAGGACAGAAGAGCGTGTGCTCGACGATTTAGAGTTAAAGCACAGTATGGTAAGTGTGATTTAGAGTTAAAGCACAGTATGGTAAGTTGTGATTTAGAGTTAAAGCACAGTATGGTAAGTGCGGTTTGTTGGTATTGAAAACAGATATTTTTTAGATACCGGTACTCTGGTAAATCAGATCATATCTTTTGAAGTTATATTTCCATCTTTATTCGTTCGTTTCTTATTCATTTATGCATTTATTCATTACTTTATTGTTAATCATTGAGATATTCTTTTATCTAATACGATCTTGATTAGTTACTGCATAGTTCATCATGTTAATCTTTTGATATTTTCAGACTCAGAGTTGCTTGCGAAAAATTGATAACGCATTAAAAGCTATAAAATTGGAAATAAAAGAAAACTCTAGAAAATTACATGAGTTGGACAGGTAAATTTTCTTGGTGATTATCATGGTCAATATACTCGAATAGTGAACAGTCGAAAATGATTTCGTGAAATGATTTCTGTTTAATTTTAAAACCATGACTTTAATGAAAAACCAGACATATCCCCTACACCAGACAGCTACGAATCAGGAATATAGATCCGGACGCAATGAGAGCGTCCTACTTGGACAAGAAGGATTATGCTGATGTGGACAACTACCCTGGGTACGAGGAGCCACAGAACCTGCAGCCGCCGCCTCCCCCGGTGTAAGAGCTCTATATTATACTAATTAATTAATTAATTAATTAATTAATTAATTAATTCATTGATTGATTGATTATTAAATTAGATAATTAAGGAGGGTCAGCGTCCATTTTCCCTGCTTTGTCGAAAGAGTTGTCCTCCGGTCACGGTGTATAATTGTAGAAATCGTCAATAGTATTCTTGTACATTATACAAACTGTGTAGGATACCAGTTAAAAGTTGAAACGACTAGTTTAAGAAGCGTATATTATTCTTCAGTTTACTTGACACGGTCAATAAAATTACACTCTACAACTTAGCTTAGCCTGTAAATACCTGGACAGTTCAATGATGTTTAACAGTCTTTGTTTTAAAAATAAATTCTTACAAACAATTAGTCCTCCCCAGTCTACATTCATTTCACTTCTTTTTCTATTTTACGTTTTGTCCACTGGGTCATGAGATTATTTTTTTTGCCAATACCAAGTCCTCTATAACAGCATCACTAAACTGTCACTCCCTTTTTTTTAAACTGCTACCCCAAGATCGGTCAGAAAGGATAAAGTGCCCCCCTTCTAGCCTCCCATTATGAGGCTGAGCAACTAGCCATACTCTGCTGGTGTTCTAATAACCCTGCTCTATCAGTGTATCTAGCAAGAGATATTTACATATTCAGATTCTACCAGGCCCAGGTGGAAGTGCCCCCCTTCTAGCCTCCCATTATGTGATTATGAGGCTGAGCAACTAGCCATACTCTGCTGGTGTTCTAATAACCCTGCTCTAATAACCCTGCTCTATCAGTGTATCTAGCAAGAGATATTTACATATTCAGATTCTACCAGGTGCAGTGGGCATATTTTGTTGCAATATGTAGTTACTGGGACTATTACAACAACGCAACTGAACACTCAAATTACAACCTACAGAATAGGACGTTTCTTAAATTCCTGTTACTGAATCTTCTGACTTCCGAGTGAAACTTGATTCCTTACTGTGCCACCGATTTTACTATTCCACATCCAAATTAAGAGTAAAGACATGAAGGTATCAATGAATTAAATGATGATTTTACCAGCGGTTAAAACCATCAGGCCAATTTTATTAGTCCCGATTAAGCTCCTTAAATAAGAAGTTGTACAGTACAGTACACCCCTATGTAATTATTTACCCCTTTTTCGGGAATTTTCCTAACATTCCTTGCCTACGCGTTACACGTTGAAATCTAAATCAATCTGTGTGACTGCAGTTTGGCTGAATAATCCTGGAAATGTAACTACCATTGTCTAGCCTGGTTTGCCTTTGTGAGCTCGGCTTTGTTCTGGATATTACTGTGTCGCATTATTGATTATGTACTTGGTCGCTATTTGTGGGCGTGGTGCTCTACCAGACCATAATACTGAGTTTCTTTCTTCTGTGCCGGTTGTTTTACCTACACGTGGAGTGGTATATCCCAGGTTATATCACTGTAATGTCCCGTGACGGTCCAAGTAGTATATAGTAGTATATAGTAGGACGTAGTATATAGTAGGACGTAGTATATATAGTAGGACGTAGTATATAGTAGGACGTAGTATATAGTAGGACGTAGTATATAGTAGGACGTAGTATATAGTAGGACGTGGTATATAGTAGGACGTAGTATATAGTAGGACGTAGTATATAGTAGGACGTAGTATATAGTCGGACGTAGTATATAGTAGGACGTAGTATATAGTAGGACGTAGTATATAGTAGGACGTAGTATATAGTAGGACGTAGTATATAGTAGGACGTAGTATATAGTAGGACGTAGTATATAGTAGGACGTGGTTGGTTTATCAAGGTCACGTGATCTCTGAGTTTTCATATTGTGAATGGTGCTGGGTAGTGGGTAGTGGGTAGTTCTACCCTGTGCTGTGGGGGCATGATCTCTTTCTGGTTTACAGCAGGTTCACAGCGAACTGCGAAGTGCTGGGTTTACAGTCATCAGATATTGTAACTTAGCCTTTATAGCCCTATTTAAATTTGATTGCGCTTCAGTGCCGCGAAAACTTAGAATGTAAGAATTTTAGAACACAAAAAATACGTCGAGATAGTTATACATATCTTTCTCATCCATTTCTCAACAGAACCATTGACAAGTGCAACTAACGTGTATTGCCATGCTTATTATTTCCAATATATGTCTGATGATAATAGTGTTTCCTTTTAGACATCGAGTGTAGCTGTTTCACTTCAGCTAATATTTTTTGATGGCGCTGTTATTGTTAAGTTCATGTTCATGGGCGGCTTTATAATCAATCATCGATATCATTGTAATCATGCATAGTCGACTTTGTAATCAAACATACAAAATAAATTTACAATACCATTTCCAGGATGTCAGACCAGGAGTTCCAGATGGAGACATACCTGAAGCAGGGTCTGTCAAGAGAACAATACCGACAAATCCTGCTCAATAAACCCGATGGCACATTCCTCATCCGACCCTCTATTCATAAACCCGGCCAGTTTACTCTGGATATTGTGTGAGTTGACTTCTTCTTCTTCTTCTTCTTTTTCTTCTTTTTCTTCTTCTTCTTCTTCTTCTTCTTCTTCTTCTTCTTCTTCTTCTTCTTTTTCTTCCTCTTCTTTTCTCAAGAGGTAAATGCTCCCAAAAACAAAATCTTTAAAAGATCTGAACTAGTGTAACAAAACTAAAATAATCTCTGATTTCAGCGTTCAAGACGAAATAAAGAAAGTATCGATATTACACGAACATAGTAAATATGGTTTGGTCTCTCCAACTACTTTCTCCACGATCACCCAGGTATTAACCAAGTCAGTAGGTAGTGGAGTAAGAATTTGTTAGCCACATTCTGTCCCTGAATTGCAATTTTTAATGAGCAGTCTGAAAATTCAAATTATTCTGCTCCGCAAGAAACACAACAATGATTATAACATTTTATAAAAGGTTTTAAATAATTATGTACTTAAAATGATATTATCAATTTATCATTGTAGTAGTTATTTACCACATCATATAAAATTTTATATTAATTATATTAATTGTTAATTGTACTAATTAATATGAATTATATTCCAGTTGGTGGAACACTACCGAACCAGGTCTCTGAGGGAACACAATCGTCAACTTGACACTCAGCTGCTCTACCCGGCCTTCGATCCCAGGTTCAACAACTACAGATAATTAGCCGCAATTAGAGTTAAATTATACGCTAATTAGGACTCTAATAAGTACACTAATTAGAAGTTCTTAGTGTGGATTTGAATAATACCGGCAGGAGGAATCCTGTGTTATATATGTAGAGTGTAGCGTGTGTAACAGCACGTTCAGATTATGGTTGTTATTTTCTACATGAATTTTGTGATTTGTTATCTGTGATGAGCGTTCAAAATGTTAAGTTTAGTTGTAGATCTGCTATTTATTTTGTTGATTGATCCCACTACCGCACTACGGTAGTGTTTGTTATGGAGCAGGGTTATATTTAAAAGCAAACTAGTTTAAATTCAAAGTGTTAACTTGAGTTACAGCCCACAGAGACATATTATCGTGGCTACTGGCGTTTTTATAAGCGATGTTATGTAAGATTTGTGGGTTGATTTTCTTGAAGATTACATCTTGACAGTTTGCTCCCTGCCCATACCAGAGAACTGAGAAGTTACCGTGGAATTTCTCATCGAAATTTGTGCGCCACAACTTCATTAGTGTTGCGCGAATTCTTGAAATGTTGACAATATGTGATCGGGTAGAATCTGAATGCATTTTATATGCAGTTGATATTGTTCTGGGTTTGCTTGTGAAGTTGCAACCACGATTTTAAACCTGCGATCACATTAAGCTACATGAAAAATGCTTTCAAATACTACGAATCTATTACCAATATTCAAAGAATTCGCTGGCCACTAATTAAGTGGTGGCGCGCGAATTTATATGTAAGATGACCACGGTTACAAGGTAGATGAAAGTTACTAGCCGGATTTATTTTTGTAAACTTGTTCGCTTGATGTGTCCACCCTGTTTTATAGAATTTTATATTTTAAGTTCCTGACCACTGATTTTTAAATGCCGCAATTTCAATTTTTAGAACTTCACCTTCATAATCATTGTCTACTTCTTTTATCTGTAAAAGTTTAAAGATCAACGTTTTTAGTCTTGACGGGTTACTGGTATAACGATTTTCCATAATTTTTGAATTTAAATAATATTATCTAAAGATCCCTATGAACACTAAAAACAATTTCACCTGGCAGACCCTGTTGTAGGACAATGATTTCATACCGTGAAATTCTGGCTAGCATGATTTTTTTTGTCAAAAGCTGATTCCGAAGTATTGTGAACCAGTCTTGTTCTATACATAGTGTTATTTCGGAATTGCCTATTAAAATACAATCTGGAGACATGTTGAGGTCCTACGAACCACTTAATTTTGGATGGGTTTATAATATGACCTTTTTTGCCAATGTGCGATCGGAATCGACCGTCTTTGACTGTGCTGCAGGTTCGACTTTGGTTATGCCATTAATCATCTTTAACCTTTAAATATGACTGAATTGATTTTCTCTAAGTTGATTAAATTGCTTTGTTATTGTGTGATTTAAATCTGATTTAACATACCCAGTTTTGAAGAAGTGTTTTACTTTTCTCGAGAATTGTTTGGGGAAAGTAATATGGAATTATATAATAGTACGATTTGTAAGTTGTATATGCAACCCGTAAACAGACATGTTAGAATAAGCAGCCAGCGTTATGATTTGAATCTAAATCGATCACATGAAGCATGTACTTGTTTATTATATAACTTTATTCAAATCAAAAATAGAACATAAATGAACATCTTAAAGATCTGATAAGTAGCCAGAAAAAAAGAAATACTGATACACAAACTATAACAACTTCTTCCATCCCGCTCTATCAGAGGCTAAAAGTCTTAAATTGTACAAATCGTCTGTATTTACAAATGGAATGTTCCTACTACCTAAATCAAATTTAATAGTCCTAAGCAAGTTCGACTGGTGTCTGCCTACTCTACCCTTTTTAGTACTCTGACTCTCTACTGCAGTCAGAGTACTTGTACTTGTAGGCTCTAATATTTTTGCTCGCTAAACATGACTTAGGTTTTTATGTTCTGCAGTCGAAAAAACTATTTTACAAAAACCTTGATTATTAACCCAATTACCCAGGGGTGTAGGAATGATTTTCTTCATGGGGGGTTCGACTGGTGTCTGCCTACTCTACCCTTTTTAGTACTCTGACTCTCTACTGCAGTCAGAGTACTTGTAGGCTCTAATATTTTTGCTCGCTAAACATGACTTAGGTTTTTATGTTTTGCAGTCGAAAAAACTATTTTACAAAAACCTTGATTATTAACCCTATTACCCAGGGTGTAGGAATGATTTTCTTCATGGGGGGCCAAATTCTAATTTTTTTTGGCGCTTCGCGCCACAGCCTAAATTTTTTGGCGCTTCGCGCCAAAGCCTGAATTTCGAGGGTAAGGTCGGATCATGAAACATGAACAAAAGTAGTTTCCGGAAAAACTTTGAACAATTTTGACTTAACAAATTTTCGGTCCGAGTCATTCTCGATACGTACCTGGCCTCTGAAAGCAGAGTTCCCGCTTCCGAGCTCATAGTCATACTGCGAAGGTGAGGCCTGCCTTCCGAGATCGCATTACAAGGGGAACCCTCGAGTCCAAAATCGTATATCGAAATTCGAAAACCGAAAAAAATATTTTTGGCTCATAATGATCAGGGTAGCATGAAACATGAACAAAAGTAGTTTCCAGAAAAATTTTGACTTAGAAAATTTTCGGTCCGAGTCATTCTCGATACGTACCTCTGAAAGCAGAGCTCCCGCTTCCGAGCTCATATTGCGAAGGGGAGGCCTGCCTTCCGAGATCGCATCACAAAGGGGAACCCTCGAGTCCAAAATCTTATATCGAACTTCGAAAACCGAAAAAAATATTTTCGGCTCAGAATGATCAGGGTAGCATGAAACATGAACAAAAGTAATTTCCAGAATAACTTTGAAAAATTTTGACTTAGAAATTTTTGACTTACAAAATTGTTCGGGAAAAATTTTTTTAGAAACCTAAATTAAAAAGTTGGCCCTTTTTGGCCCCTTGCCCAGATTTCATGGGGGGGCGATGCCCCCCCCCCCCCCCCCCCCCCCCCGCTTCCTACACCCCTGCTATTACCAATACCATAACCTGGAAACTACCCCAACCCTTATAGTTATAGTTATGCCTTAACAATCGAATTCAGGGAAGCATGTTTAGTTTACCTTACCACTTACGTCATCGGGTATCGGAATCAGTATTCAAAATACATCGAGTATAAAGTAACCTTCATTATCATGTCTTCATAAAATGTAAGTGTAACCGACCCCCAATTTCAAGAAGTGCACATCGCCAAAATCAACTGTCTTTTGACTCTGACTCTCCAATCATACCATATTCGCATGCTAATTTAGATAGGTCGTGTAAATAATGCAGTATAACTGGCCCCAAGCAGCCCGGAATATTAACGATCTGAGGCCCCTGGAAACAATATAATCGATTAAATATACATGTTTAAACATGAGCAGAAAGCTGCTTCTCTTTGAGGCAGCAACTTCGGCAAGTCATTCGGTCTCCACTCCACAAGCTTTGGGATTAAAACAATACAACCACAACACACAAGTATAAACCGTTTTAGGCACATTCTCACTTTTTAGAGGGCCAACGCTACTGTGTTTCTACAGCGGTTTCATTTCGATTACAAATTCTTCGATTACGTTATGCCATTGCCGAGTGAAATCATAATTTTGATATCGCTACTTTTCTCGGCCATTACATCGATTGAACCAATAGCCTTATTTACGGACGCAACTTCAGCTTCAGGTAATTTCATTTAACTTTAAGTCTAACGTACCAGAGCCCTTGCGCTTGCAGTAGCGCGAAAGCACTAATTACTGGGCGGCGCTCAGCCTGTCTGCTGTCATTCCGCCGAATCTTTATTATGTTTATAAACATAATACATAATAGCCTGGGGTCCCCAGGTAAGAAAGCACATGGTTAGGTGAAGTAATTTCATTTACAATTTACAAACAACAAAGTAATTTTAACATAGAAGGATTTTTAAAAGGTTTTTGCCAGGATTACCTCGACAGCTGAAGGGTTGCAAATGCAGACAAGATCATAGCCTGCGGTTTTGACACCACGTCCTTGTAGCTGTTTATAACTTACCAGTACCAGGACGCGCGACGAGTTGGACAAATATTTTACGAGTATCACCCGTTAACCTTACTTAACTGGGCCGCGCTCAGCTAGCCTGTCATTCCGCCGAATTTTACGGGTGATACTCGTAAAATATTTGTTCCAACTCGGCGCGCGTCCTGGTTTACCTGGGGACCCCAGGCTATTATGTTTATAAACATTAAACAATAAAGATTCGGCGGAATGACAGGCTGAGCGCCGCCCAGTAAGTCCTGGTAGGTTGTAAACCTACAACGCCGAATCTCTATTCGGCTTTATGATTGTAGCGCGATGCGTTACTGTGCCGCGCCGCGCACTCAATGAGGCTTCTCACAGCGACGATCTCTAGATCGGCGAAATGCGCTACTGTGCCGCGCCGAGCTGAGATGAATTGACATCGTCAATTAAGCTTTATGATTATGACATATGAACATAAATATAATAGCCTGAGCGTCCCCATGCCCCAGGTATTTTTTTAACCGTTAACCACGTCCTCAAACACCGGAGCTTGAACAACGGGAGTTGTACTTTATCGAACCATATTTGACCGGACATTAAATGAAGTGGAGGACTTCGCCGCTTCGACGCGCCGCACAAACTAGCATTCTTGCTTCGCAGAGCAACAATCTCGGTGGGTTGACATTTGACATTGTCAATCAATAAATGAACGGACATAATTATGAACGGACTTTAAAATAAAGGCTCGAAGGCATTCAAAACTATCAACAATCCAAATTGTTTCATTAAAAAACTTTGACGTTTTTAAAATTTTAACAGATAATTTGTAAATTAAGTTTTATACAATGAGCAAAAACAACAGTCGTTAAGCAGTAAAAAATTTGTAAATATTTGTAAATCAGTATTAAGCATTAAGTGTCAATGATTATGAAAGTTGTGTAAAAACAACAAATACGAAATATGACTGCAGATTTGTTACTGGGCCGCGCTCAGCCTGTCATTCCGCCTAATTTCTATTGTTTATGAACATGATAGCCTGAGTGCTGAGGTCCCCAGGTAACAGATTTGATGATCATATTGTGCACAGGTCATCTTCCTCAAATGGGTTATCGTGCATTAAATATTCCATGCTTAAACATTAAAGCATCATATCAGTAATACCTGCTTTTTGAAAACGGGGCGCGGTGGTGCTCAGCATGTCATAAGTTATTCCGCCTAATCTCTTTTCTATGATTATAAATATTTAACATAAATATAATAGCCTGAGGTATTGACCATTGTTAATGATCTGGCCCGGCGCGCGCTACTTCGTAGCACTTGCCATTTCGAGAAGAAAGCGGCGCGCGCTACTTCGAAGAAATTTAGACGAGTAACATCCGTCAACCTGAGGTACGGTCCCCAGGTAAAGATTTCTTATGTCCTAGTTGTAGGTTTACAACCTACCAGTGACCACTGACCAGGACGCGCGCCGAGTTGGACTCGTCGACGGTCCAATATATGGAACAGATATTTTACGAGTATCACCCGTTCCTAGCTGGGTATAAGTATAACCTAGGTGCATTTAAAAAACTTTCATTTTAAGAACTTTCGCTTTCGCTTTCACTTTTGTAGCGCGATGCCAGATGCGTTACTGGTTACTGAGCCGAGCTATTGTAATTGTATGCGAACACCACCCGCACACACTTTGGGCTTTTACTATAATTCGCTCGCCCAAAAATTTCACGTGACTTTGATTCACGATCATGTCAATCCTTCGCAGCTCAGTGAGGCCCAGTGATGCATTTCGCTGATACTCATCTACCAAAGATCTCGTGGTTGCGAGAAGAATTATTTGATGCGCGGCGCGCTACAACACATGACTTTTGTTTTTATTGTTTTGCAGCCGTACAAAAAACCCCAAAGACGCAAAGACGCGCGAAAATAAAGAAATCATAGATTTGGGCAAGAGATACTAGATGCTCAGGTTTGCCCGGTAGGTTCCTGTCTGCTCACTAGAAAAGACAGGGGGCAGCCTGTTCTAAAAGAGCGCCCGGGAGATCACCTAGGCATGTACTTGTCCAAATCGACTGTAAAAAAATTTTCAAGTTTCAGGAGTATTATATCGGGAAATGGGTTTTCTGGAACCCCTGTTTTACAACAGATTGTCGTGAAGTATAATAATAATATGTATAGACGCTTTTGGCAGTCAACTGTAGCCTACATTTAAGTGTCCGTAGATTCAAAAGTATGAAAGATATAGTCATTTCGAACCACAGGTTTTAAAGATAATTGTTTATACTTTAGTTTAAATTATATCGAAAAATAATTTAACGTCATCATCATCCCTTGATGACGTCATCAATTTAAGTGTTTTTAAAACTTGATTTTTGACAAAATAACAACTTTTCAAATCGATTTTTCCACCATTAAAAAGTAATTTTATTCAAAATCCGAGGAGATTTTGACCTTAGATAATTGTTCAAGCATTCTGAAAATCTACCGGAAAAGTTTCCTACCTTACTCCTTCATAAAGATATTCGCTATTGAAGTTAGTGCTTTTTTGAAGAATAATTTTATAAAAACACAAAAGTTGTGAATTAGTATTCTCTGGTGTTGGACCATCTCTTGGGTTGTGGAGCTCAATTTTGCTTCTTAAAGGTCTAAATTGTGTTATAGGCTGGTTTTTAAGTTTAAAATCGAAAAGTTGCACACGTGGGACACGCCCAAATTGATTTAAAATAGCTTATATCACTGAAAATTGTTATTTTCACGATTTTTATCAACTTTGGAGTCCCGTTGTGATTCAAGTTCTTTTTGAAATCTTCTGAAACTTTGCTTGCTTATTAAACTATATATTAAATACCACTATGCACAAATTTAGTGTGATTCAATATTGTATGCGCACGCAACGTCCGCTCAAAGTTTGCACGTGCGAAAGGTGAGAATTTTGCTCATTCGTGATTTCGAATATATTCTGCTTTCCCACAATATTTAAATGGCATTATATATATTTCACTTGCATTAGGCTTAGAAATTTATTCTCTGGTCAACAGATTTCAAATGTTTAATTAATTTGTAGTATGACAGTAAGGTATATAAGAAGTTATTTAATTTTGCTTGGGCTATTATATTGACTAGGTATTGAGGTTTAATGATGATATGGAATTTGAATTCTATATAAATTTACACTATGTGGTTGGGGCATTTTGCATAGTAAATATGGTTACTACTCATATATATCATATTATTTGATTGGTATTCGATTTCTGATTATTTCTCTAGGAATATGATTATTATATCTCAATTTGGCTTTAGGTAGGGTGCCCCGCTAAAAGAACTGGATTCTTCCAGGAAGCATCCCGTGCACAGAGCTTGGTCTACATATATATTAAATTATCAACCATTCATTCTGTATGTGCACGAAAATTTATTTCAATATGAATTAAATGCCAACTTGAATGAGTAAAAAGTGCCGTATCGAGTCTGTTATCGACAGATATACCTACCTAAACACAAGGAAATGTTTTCAAAGGTAAAATTTCGAAATCTTTGAAATAACCTCCTTATTAATAAAGTTTCGACTGTGTAAATAGGTAGTGCGCCATCGACAGTGAGCCGCGCGTGCCGACTGTAGGATGGTTTTTTAGCGCTAATTTCGGCCAGCACAATTTTCTTCAAACAAATAGATATTCAGTATACTTCCCGACCTCTGATTGCAACAAAAATTGGTAAGCTTACTCATAGACTTACAAGAAAAGTGTCCGAAAAATTTAAAGCATATCCAACCATCAAACATTATGTTACAGCTAAAAGCAGCGTATTTTGCCCCATTTTGATCACTAAATCAACTCCGATATCCACCAAATTTTTCGGACAGTTGTAAACGCCTTATTGGAAGGTCGTCGCCAATTTTTAGAATGATCCCATTCAAGGAACTGAAGATATATCCAAATAATACGACAAAAATCAACGAATTTGGTCAAATTTGGTCAAATTACGCGACTTTTACAGCTACTTTTGCTCCAAAAGCCGCGCATCATCAAATATGGCACCTAGGCAAAACTCACTGATCTTTCCAAAAAGGTATGACAAATTTGGTATTGTGAAAATTCTCACAGTCTCTAGAAAACAATGGTACAAAAATTTTAAAAATCCGAGCAAGTTTATTTTTATCGTGCACCCCCTAGTGTAAATTATCCTGACATTATAATCAAAAAGAGATGATATTTGACCAAAACCCATAATCATCGGTAGAGTGAACCGCTGCCAGTGTCTCTCTTTTCCAAACAAAAGGAAATGATATTAATTTGAGGAACCGTCCGCAAATGCAAATTGATACCGAGAATGAAATCGGTCGCTCGCTTTTCCCATTCATTCGCGGCTTACGAATTGTAATAAAGCTTATTTTTATATATTGTCATTGATAACTATTCTTAACAGATCACACCTGTAGAAGAGGAAAAGTGAAATGTCCGGGCAGTCTACAATGTATCCGGGAGAGTTACATGTGTGATGGTGACGAAGACTGTTCAGATGGTTCAGATGAGAACGGAGCTTTCTGTAAAGGTTTGGCAGTTGCTATTAAATAACAGTATCAGCTGTTAACAATTTAAGCACCAATACACGAACAAATTCCTTCGTAGTGTTAAATTAGTACCACTATACAGATAACTATTACCCAAACAGATTACACCTGTGTAGTAGGAGTCGTAAAATGTCCGGGTGGTCTACAATGTATCAGCGAGTATTACCTTAACATGTGTGACGGTAGAAACGACTGTTCAGATGGTTCAGATGAGAACGGAGCTTTCTGTAAAGGTTTGTCATTTGTTAATTGTTGGTACCTTATCGGAAATTATTTGACCGGACATTGCGTGAACGGACATAATTTTAGACGGACATTAAAATGAACGCTAAAACATTCAGCGTCCGATCAATGTCCGTTCAAATAAAGTCTGATAAGGTAACAGCATCAGCTGTTAATAATTGAAGCACCAATACACGAACAAATTTCTTCATAGTGTTAAATTAGTACCACTATACAGATAACTATTACCCAATCAGATTACACCTGTGTAGTAGGAAGAGTAAAATGTCCGGGTGGTCTACAATGTATCAGCGAGTATTACCTTAACATGTGTGACGGTATAAAAGACTGTTCAGATGGTTCAGATGAGAACGGAGCTTTCTGTAAAGGTTTGTCAGTTGTTAATAATAATTGTTGTTACCTTATCGGAAATTATTTGACCGGACATCGCGTGAACGGACATAATTTTAGACGGACATTAAAGTGGAATTGAACGCTTGGACATTCAGCGTCCGATTAATGTCCGTTCAGATAAAGTCAGAAAGTCTGATAAGGTAACAGCATCAGCTGTGAACAATTTAAGCACCAATACACGAAAAAATTCCTTCATAGTGTTAAATTAGTACCACTATACAGATAACTATTACCCAAACAGATTACACATGTATGAGAGGAACAGTAAAATGTCTGGGTGGTCCACAATGTATCAGCGAGTATTACATGTGTGACGGTAGAAAAGACTGTTCAGATGGTTCAGATGAGAACGGAGCTTTCTGTAAAGGTTTGTCAGTTGCTATTAAGTAACAGTATCAGCTGTTAACAATTTAAGCACCAATACACGAACAAATTCTTTCATGGTCATAGTGTTAAACAATGCTGTTAAATTCGCACTAAACGTATTATTCGAATTTAATTCGCATACGAATTTTTCTCTGAAAATTGCCGCATTTAAAAAAATATAAAAAATACGAGAAGAGGAAATCACGTGTCCGCATCAATATGTTCATGATAGTTGGCTTTGTATGGTGCAATGTTGCCAAAACATGTGCTTCCCGCAACACGTGCGTGGTTACTGGTTAGTGATCACTAGCGTAGGTACTGACCAAGATCGCTAAGGGGTTTAATTTAGCTCATATACCGAAGACGTTATGGAGTAAACTAGCTTTTCTCGATAAACTTGAAATCACTTAATTTCCTCCACAGTCTAGTCTACTTGCCGAGATTTGTAAGTTTGAGATCTGCATGTTTGAAGTAACACGTCACAATTCACATATCCAACTAGATTATAGACTCAAGAATGCTGCACGTTCTATTCCCACAGCCGCATTTTTATCGAATTTTTCGCGCATTTTTTGGCGAATTTAACAGCCCTAAAAATTAAAAATGTACGTTGTAAATTGGCGAATTATTCGTGTACTTTTTGAAAACTCTAAATACGCGCCGTACTTTTTGACAAAAATTTGGCGAATTTAACAGCATGGGTGTTAAATTAGTACCATTATACAGATAACTATTACCTAAACAGATTATACCTGTGGAGGAGGAAGAGTAAAATGTCCGACCGGTCTACAATGTATCGACGGGTATAACTTGTGTAACGGTGAAGAAGACTCATGTTCAGATGGTTCAGATGAGAACATAGCTTTCTGTAAAGGTTTGTCAGTTGCTGTTAAATAACAGTATCAGCTGTTAACAATTTAAGCACCAATACACGAACAAATTCCTTCATGGTCATAGTGTTAAATTAGTACCACTATATAAGTATATAGATAACTATAAACAGATAACTATTACCCAAACAGACTACGGCTGTAGAGCAGGAAGAGTAAAATGTCCGGGCGGTCTACAATGTATCGATGAGCAACATAATTCAATATGTGACGGTAGAAACGACTGTTCAGATGGTTCAGATGAGAACAGAACTTTCTGTAAAGGTTTGTCATTTGTTAATTGTTGTTACCTTATCGGAAATTATTTGACCGGACATCGCGTGAACGGACAAAATTTTAGAAGGACATTAAAATAAACACTAGGACATTCAGCGTCCGATTAATGTCCGTACAAATAAAGTCTGATAAGGTAACAGCATCAGCTGTTAACAATTTAAGCACCAATACACGAACAAATTCCTTCGTAATGTTAAATTAGTACCACTATACAGATAACTATTACCCAAACAGATTACACCTGTAGAAGAGGACAAGTAAAATGTCCGACTGGTCTACAATGTATCTGGGAGGATTTTATGTGTAACGGTGACGGAGACTGTTCAGATGGTTCAGATGAGAACGGAGCTTTCTGTAAAGGTTTGTCAGTTGCTATTAACAGTATCAGCTGTTAACAATTTAAGCACCAATACACGAACAAATTCCTTCGTAATGTTAAATTAGTACCACTATACAGATAACTATTACCCAAACAGATTACACCTGTAGAAGAGGACAAGTAAAATGTCCGACTGGTCTACAATGTATCTGGGAGGATTTTATGTGTAACGGTGACGGAGACTGTTCAGATGGTTCAGATGAGAACGGAGCTTTCTGTAAAGGTTTGTCAGTTGCTATTAACAGTATCAGCTGTTAACAATTTAAGCACCAATACACGAACAAATTCCTTCATGGTCATAGTGTTAAATTAGTACCACTGCACTATATAAGTAATAAGTATATAGATAACTATAACCCCCCAGTTCAATAGCCGGATATTATGCCAAATTATTAGACGGAGATCGTCTCCTGATTTTTCTCCGGATATTTCTCCGGTTTGCAGTTCCATAACCTTATCCGGAGACCATCTACTAGTGGGTGCACGATAAAAATAAACTTGCTCGGAGTTTAAAATTTTTTGTACCATTGATTTCTAGAGACTGTGAGAATTTCACAGTACCAAATTTGTTATACCTTTTCGGAAAGACAGCTAATTCGCCCGCGCGCGTTGGTCTCCGGGAATTAATCTCCGAGAAATTCCCGGAGAGCTTCATCTCCGTCTAATACAGTAGACGGAGCCGGATAATCATCTCCGGAGATGATCTACGGGAAATGGACCTCCGTCTAATAATTTGGCATAATATCCGGCTATGGAACTGGGGGTAAACAGATAACTATAACCCAAACAGACTACACCTGTATGAGAGGAAAAGCAAAATGTCCGGGTGGATTACAATGTATCAGCGATCAGCATTACATGTGTGACGGTACAAACCACTGTTCAGATGGTTCGGATGAGAACAGAGCTTTCTGTAAAGGTTTAACTTTATCAGTTGTTATTGACAGTATCAGCTGTTAACAATTTAAGCCCCATTACACGAACAACTTTCTTCATAGTATCAAATTAGTACTACTATACACTATTCAGATAAGTATTACCCAAACAGATTACACCTGTGGAGAAGAAAGACTGAAATGTCCGGGCGGTCTACAATGTATCAGCGAGTTTAACATGTGTGACGGTGACGAAGAATGTTCAGATGGTTCAGATGAGAACAGAGCTTTCTGTAAAGGTTTGTCAGTTGTTATTAAATAACAGTATCAGCTGTTAACAATTTAAGCCCCATTACACGAACAACTTTCTTCATAGTATTAAATTATTTCCACTATACACTATACAGATAATTATTACCCAAACAGATTACACCTGTGGAGAAGAAAGACTGAAATGTCCGGGCGGTCTACAATGTATCAGCGAGTTTAACATGTGTGACGGTGACGAAGAATGTTCAGATGGTTCAGATGAGAACAGAGCTTTCTGTAAAGGTTTGTCAGTTGTTATTAACAGTATTAGCTGCGCCAATACACGAACAACTTTCTTCATAGTGTTAAATTAGTACCACTATACAGACAACTATTACCCAAACAGATTACACCTGTAGAAGAGGACAAGTAAAATGTCCGACTGGTCTACAATGTATCTGGGAGAGTTACATGTGTGACGGTGAAGAAGACTGTTCAGATGGTTCAGAGGAGAACGGAGCTTTCTGTAAAGGTGTGTCAGTTGCTATTAAATAACAGTATCAGCTGCTAACAATTTAAGCACCAATACACGAACAAATTCCTTCATAGTGTTAAATTAGTACCACTATACAGATAACTATTACCCAAACAGATTACACCTGTAGAGGAGTTAAAGTAAAATGTCCGACCGGTCTACAATGTATCGGCGAGTATTACATGTGTGACGGTAGAAACCACTGTTCAGATGGTTCAGATGAGAACGGAGCTTTCTGTAAAGGTTTGGCAGTTGCTATTAAATAACAGTATCAGCTGTTAACAATTTAAGCACCAATACACGAAAAAATTCCTTCATAGTGTTAAATTAGTACCACTATATAAGTATATAGATAACTATTATACAGATAACTATTACCCAAACAGATTACACCTGTGTAGGAGGAACAGTAAAATGTCCGGGCGGTCTACAATGTATCGACGAGTATAACATGTGTGACGGTATAAAAGACTGTTCAGATGGTTCAGATGAGAACGGAGCTTTCTGTAAAGGTTTGGCAGTTGCTATTAACAGTATCAGCTGTTAACAAATAAAGCGCCGATACACGAACAATTATTCCTTTGTAGTGTTAAATTAGTACCACTATACACTATTCAGGTAACTATTGCCCAAACAGATTACACCTGTGGAGGAGGAAGAGTAAAATGTACGGGCGGTCTACAATGTATCTTGGAGTATAACATGTGTGACGGTGAAGAAGACTGTTCAGATGGTTCAGATGAGAACGGAGCTTTCTGTAAAGGTTTGGCAGTTGCTATTAACAGTATCAGCTGCTAACAATTTAAGCGCCAATACACGAACAAATTCTTTCGGAACATTAAATTAGTACCACTATACAGATAACTATTACCCAAACAGATTACACCTGTGTAGTAGGAAGAGTAAAATGTCCGACCGGTCTGCAATGTATCCGGGAGTATAACATATGTGACGGTAGAAAAGACTGTTCAGATGGTTCAGATGAGAACGGAGCTTTCTGTAAAGGTTTGGCAGTTGCTATTAAATAACAGTATCAGCTGTTAACAATTTAAGCGCCAATACACGAACAAATTCCTTCATAGTGTTAAATTAGTATCACTATACAGATAACTATTACCCAAACAGATTACACCTGTGGAGGAAGAAAAGAAAAATGTCCGACTGGTCTACAATGTATCTGGGAGAGTTACATGTGTGACGGTGAAGAAGACTGTTCAGATGGTTCAGATGAGAACGGAGCTTTCTGTAAAGGTTTTTCAGTTGCTATTAAATAACAGTATCAGCTGTTAACAATTTAAGCGCCAATACACGAACAAATTCCTTCATAGTGTTAAATTAGTACCACTATACACTTTACAGATAACTATTACCCAAACAGATTACACATGTGGAGGAGGAAAAGTAAAATGTCCGGGCGGTCTAAAATGTATCGACGAGTATAACATGTGTGACGGTAAAAAAGACTGTTCAGATGGTTCAGATGAGAACGCAGCTTTCTGTAAAGGTTTGTCAGTTGCTATTAAATAACAGTATCAGCTGTTAACAAATAAAGCGCCAATACACGAACAAATTCCTTCATAGTGTTAAATTAGTATCACTTTAACACAGATAACTATTACCCAAACAGATTACACCTGTGTAGTAGGAACAGTAAAATGTCCGGGCGGTCTACAATGTATCGACGAGTATAACATGTGTAACGGTGAAGAAGACTGTTCAGATGGTTCAGATGAGAACGGAGCTTTCTGTAAAGGTTTGGCAGTTGCTATTAACAGTATCAGCTGTTAACAAATAAAGCGCCGATACACGAACAATTATTCCTTTGTAGTGTTAAATTAGTACCACTATACACTATTCAGGTAACTATTGCCCAAACAGATTACACCTGTAGAGAAGACAGAGTAAAATGTCCGACCGGTCTACAATGTATCGGCAGGAATAAATTATGTGCCTACCATGCCTACTGTAGAGATAGTTCAGACAAGAATACAACCATCTGTGACAGTAAAGGTACGTCTTCAGATTTGCTTGAATTGCTGAAATTAATAAGAATAATCGTTACGATTTTATTTTCCGTGAAGCCATAAAAAACACACATAATGGGTTTTGAAACATTATTCATGCTTCGAGCCCTTTTATTAGCTCTATAAATTTGATCTAAGCTTTAAATATCTATCATCGAGATCTAAGCTTTAAATATTCGAGGTGAAAATGAGGCTAACTACCTTTTGAGAGGGTGAAATGAGGCTAACAAGTATACTTTTGTATACCTTATCGGACCTTATTTGGACGGACATTACTTGAACGGACATAATTATGAACGGACATTAATATGAACGCTAGAAGGCAATAAAAAATCCGAATTTTTTTCAACTTTTTATTTACGTTTTTTTAATTTTAGCAAATGATTTTTAAATCCATTTTTCATACACTAAGCAAGAAAAGCAGTCTATAATAAGTAAAAATGTTAAAATATGTGTACATGATCATTATCTAATATCACATATCATCTTCATCAAATGGGTTTTCGTGCAGGGAGATATCCCGGTTTGTCTTCTACTTTATCGAGATGGGTGGTATAGTAGAAGGTATCGTAGCTGACATAAGCCACCGAAGGTCGCCTATACCAAGTGGGGAGCTAGAGATAAAGCTTAATCTGTACTTTAGGCATTCAAGTATCTCTCTAGTAGAGCAGTTGGGATCGTTCATTGCCCGGTACGACTACGAGTTGGACAGACAACCAGTTGTAACTTGTAAGACAAAATGAGGTAGAAGAAGCCGAAGATCAACTTCAAGATAGTGATCATGCAATAATGTGATATTTACAATTCAGATTGTTAAAATTTTATGATACCTTGTTTTTATTGATTCAACGATATAGTTTAGTCTTATTATCTTACTATATATAAAGCGAGACGATATATATATATTTATTTATCCGTGCCATTTTACTGACACCACGGCATCAACTTTAACACGACTTTCCGCAAAAACCGTAAAAGATATACAACTGAAACTTTTTTGACTGGGTCAAATGCTTTAATGGCCTTCAAATCAGCATGAAAAAATAAAAAATTCGCCAAGAAATAGGAGTTTTAGAGCCCAAAATTTGGACCCCCAAGTGGTGTCAAAAACGCGAATTAAATAGGTAATAATTATTTTAGTCTCTTGAGTCTTGACACCACTTTAGGGTAAGACGGTTTCCTGCTAGTTATTATAAAGGGTCTCAATAAGAGGTCTCGACTGCCTAGGCGTCAAACCTTGGCAGTCGGTGGTTTTCCTCTGGCCCGGGATCAGCTGACCCTAGGGACCAGAGGGTAAAGGTGTAGAGACTATGTGTATCTACAAATCTTTCGAGGTTGTTTTTACAAGAGACAGGGCTTGCTACGCAAGGGAAGAAAACCGGAAGAAACAATCACAAATTATACAATTAAATATTATAAAACCTAGCAAAAAGAAATTCATACAATCCTACACTACTACAAATGTTTATTACATACTACAATGTAATACACGATAAATAAATGCTGTATAATCAAGAAACAGGGCTTGCAGGGCAATGGACGGAACACAGGAACTGGCTACAGAGTGTATAAAACAGTGATTCAGCAAGTACCCATTGGGTTTTGCTGAATCTGACCCACAAAATACCACAATCAATACAAGAATATACAATATAAGAAAAACATCATGTTTATACAAGAATCAGGGCATGCAGAGCAAGAGAAGAAAAATAAGAGAAAAACTCCAGCACATGTATACCCCTTAGTCCAGCAAATAACAATAATTACTTGTACACAAAATTGTATAATATAAAATACATAACAAATACACAGTCTACCCAATAAACGAGTTAAAAATTGTATAAACAAGAGACAGAGCTTGCATAGCAAGGGAAGAGATATAAGAGGACCAGGTAAAAAGTGTTTAATACAGTATCCAGTGAAGAATAAACTAAATATAGAGTATCTACAGTGTATTATACTCTCAATTATATTATATGTCTAAGACCATCCTGAGAATTCTGGCTGATCCAAGCAGAGCTGTCTTCTGGAAATTAGAGATGCTCAGATTGCAGTGGACTGCGTCGAGGTGTTTACGAAAGTTAATGGTGATAATTCCTAATGCGCCTATCATTATTATTATTATAAAGGGTCTCAATAAGAGGTCTCGACTGCCTAGGCGTCAAACCTTGGCAGTCGGTAGTTTTCCTCTGGCCCGGGATCAGCTGACCCTAGGGACCAGAGGGTAAAGGTGTAGAGACTATGTGTATCTACAAATCTTTCGAGGTTGTTTTTACAAGAGACAGGGCTTGCTACGCAAGGGAAGAAAACCGGGAGAAACAATCACAAATTATACAAATAAATATTCTAAAACCTAGCAAAAAGAAATTAAAACAATCCTACGCTACTACAAATGTTTATTACATACTACAATGTAATACACGATAAATAAATGCTGTATTATCAAGAAACAGGGCTTGCAGGGCAAGGGACGGAACACAGGGACTGGCTACAGAGTGTATAAAACAGTGATTCAGCAAGTACCCATTGGGTATTGCTGAATCTGACCCACAAAATACCACAATCAATACAAGAATATACAATATTTAAACAAACATCATGTTTATACAAGAATCAGGGCATGCAGAGCAAGAGAAGAAGAATAAGAGAAAAACTCCAACACATGTATACCCCTTAGTCCAGTAAATAACAATAATTACTTGTACACAAAACTGTATTTAATATAAAATACATAACAAATACACAGTCTACCCAATATACGGGTTAAAAATTGTATAAACAAGAGACAGGGCTTGCATAGCAAGGGAAGAGATATAAGAGGACCAGGTAAAAAGTGTTTATTACAGTATCCAGTGAAGAATAAACTAAATATAGAATATCTACAGTGTATTATACTCTCAATAATATCATATGTTTAAGACCATCCTGAGAATTCTGGCTGATCCAAGCAGAGCTGTCTTCTGGAGATTAGAGATGCTCAGATTGCAGTGGACTGCGTCGAGGTGTTTACGAAAGTTAATGGTGATAGTTCCTAATGCGCCTATCACCACAGGGACGATTGTGACCTTTCGTAAATTCCAGTTCTTCTTAATTTCTCTTTTTAGGTCTTGATATTTCAGTATCTTTTCTTGTTCTCTATCCAGGATCCGGGTATCTCCTGGGACTGCAACGTCAATGATAGTTGCTGCGTTGGTTACCTTGTCTACCAGGAGGAGATCCGGTCTGCAGTGTTCGATAACGTGGTCCGACTGGACATGGAAGTCCCACAATATCTTGACTTTTTCGTTCTCCAGCACCTTCTCTGCCCGGTGTTCGTACCACCTTTTACTGCGTGGGAAGCCGTATTCCTTGCACAGACTCCAGTGCAATGCGGCAGCTACTTTGTCATGCCGACACTTATATTCTGTCTGTGAAAGTTTTGGGCACCCATTCAGTATGTGGTCTATTGTCTCGTAATGATTTCTGCAGAGTCTGCAGAGGGGAGAAGAGCCAGGTGTTTTGTCAATCCTGTGCTTCACATAATTCGTCCTAAGTGCTTGATCTTGGGCTGCTATCAACAATCCTTCTGTCTCCTTCTTCAAGTCTTGTTGAGTGAGCCAGTTCCAAGAGGTTAACGGGTCCGCTATACCCATCATCTGCCTTGGGAACTGTCCGTGCATCACTTTAGCAGTCCACTTCTCCTTGCGGATTTCCTCGCGTTGTGTTCGGTCGATATCTTTCTCTATCTCTTCACCCAAGAGTATCTTGTCTTTGACAAAGTAGTCCTTCAGAGCA